CCTATGATGTAACCTATACTTCTTCGACTGTACCACTATAGTATCTATTTCTCATTCTCGACAGATGTTCAATTATGCTAAAGCATTTACTCGGTTTGGTTGGTACAGTTTCAGAGTTATGTTTTAATATGGAAAAACTTCTTTTAGCTTCACAATATGAGACAGAAAATGTAGTAAAATACTGAAGAAGCCTAAATATCTGTGTATTGATCTTTATTGTAGTTGTACAGAGCATCAAGTATACTATTTTTGTCAAAATATCTATGCCATAATAGAACTTCGGATTTTAAAAACAGTTTGATCCATGCCATTAGAATACAATTAATTTAAATCTCTTAAAGAATTTTAATACAAATTGTGATAAGAAATAAGGAAATATAAATAAAATAAAATATAAATAAATATTTTTGATTATGTTCCGATCATAGGTGGGATGTCATACCCATAAAACTAGTATGCAGTTGTTAGTTAAACAATATTCTACGTATATCTATCATTAGTAGGTATTTTAAAGAGGTGATACCATTGAAGCATTTCCAATTACGATACATATAGGTATTAAGTATAGATACTATAAATTTATACTCAAATTCTAAATCCAGAGTATGTATTAACCAAGTACTAAAGATGGTATTAAACAAATAAACTTTAATAATAATAAAATAGGTATTTTAACAACATATTAACTGTTTTATAGGATATTTAATTATATATTACATTAAAATATTATGTATAAGTTAAAAACAAAATAACAATACACATGTACAATCAACAGATAAGGCTAAAATTGTTTTTACTGCATGAAATATGCTAATCTAAAATACATTCAATCTATATCTAAATACGATAAATCGTCTTCATCTCCCAATGAGAAAATATTTGACAAATTTGAAGATGGTTCATTTTGGATTGTTGGCGATTTTAAAACATTTGATTGTTCTTGACCACTGTTTGAACTAGTTGGCTTTTTGTTGCATCTATATGCGCTCAACTTCAATCTTGCCAACTGCCCTGTATCTAATTTAGAACTAGATGGTGTTTGTGAAGTGTCATTTTTTCGTTTTAAACAAGGACTATTAAAAATTGTTGTTGACGGGCTCGGTGGTGTTATAGGAAAAGTTGATGATTTTATTGAGATATCAGTAATTTTTTTACTAGTACTGTTGACAAAAATATCTCCATCATTAGAGTCTTCATCAATCATAACTTGAGAGTTTTTGGGAGAATTAGGCGAGTTGGCACATATTTTTTTAATTTTAGAAGATGTTGTTGGCTTTATTATTTCTTTTTTGTGCATCTGAGACTTGTAAAAATCTTTTTGTTTTTTTATTTTGATATTTTGTATAGTTTCTGATATTTTATTTGTCAATCTATTATTTGAACTTTTTGAAAGAACATTCAACGTACTAACATCATCTATACTTGTGTCAGTAATGTCAGACAAATGTATTAAAGATGTATTACACCACAGCTCCATTTCCTTTTCAAGAATGTCATCCAAGCCTAACTTTTTCAAAATTGTTTCCTCTATATACAAAAAACATTGTTAAAAATACTATTTAATAATTAAATTCATAACAGTAGTTACTTTCTTTGATATATGTTTCTTTAGGACTTGATGGAAATTTAGTATACAAGGTATTTATGCTATCTGGAGACCCGTTATCATTTGAGCATTCCATCAGTGACACAGCTACTATGGCATCCTGAACGAGCACTTTATTACGAAACATGAGTTTTGCATGTGCCTGGGATAATCTAAAAGAAGAATTATGGAATTTAAATGTACTTCAATCTACAACAGTCATTAAAGTAATAGTACATAAATCTTGACTTAATCATAAATCTTCAATAGAATCTATTTAATTTTGATAATAGTATATACTATGCTATTACTTTTAATAGTAAATGGTTTTAATAATTTTCTAAGAATTGTAGTAACATGTTTGATAAAATAAGAATAACTTCTTTCAAGCAATAGTTTCAAAATGAGTGACTTTAAATTTGTTGGCTTAAAACCACATTTTCTTATAACTATAATACTCTTTCAACTATATTTATATGATACCTCAGAAGGCTCTCCAAAAACCGTACACTAGTTCTAGCAGCATTTCTGTGGGTACTTTGACGTTGCATCCAATAATATTTACTTAGAACTGTGTTAGCATCTTCTGTAGTCTCAGGAGTCATGCTTCGTATAGTGCAAAAATAGTGCTGAAGTTTTTCTAGATTCCATAATGTTGTACTGTTCTTATGAGCTCCAGGTTTTTTTCCGTGAAGCACATATGACGATACAACTCTAAATAAAAAAGTTAATCCATATATCATATCCAATCAATATTGAATTCAAAGAATCAAAATAATATTACTTTTCCCACTCTTCATTTTTCGTGTCTATAAGAATTAAGATTAAATCAAAACGACTTAACAGTGGACTGGCAATTTTAATATTATCTGTTATAGATAAATTCAAATTATATCTACTTTTTGGGTTCATTGCAGCCATAACAGTACAACGAGTGTCTAGTTTGCATACCAAACCAGCCTATGAAAATAATGAAAAAAATTAATCCTTAAAAAAATGAAAGGTGTATCATAATTACAAGAAATAATTTTTATATGATTCAGTATTGTAAGTACTTTCGCAACACTAATCGATTGTTGTTCCATAGCTTCATGAATTGCTGTACGATCATCTTCCCTCAATGACCCAAACTCATCGACACAGCAAATCCCGCCATCAGCCAATACAAGGGCCCCAGCTTCCAAATGCCATTCAGACCCTTCCTGTTTAATAAAAAATTTAAAAATTGTTAACATTAACTCACTATTATTCCAATTTAATTTTTAACCCTGAATGCTGCAACAGTCAGTCCTGCTTTTGATGAACCAACTCCGGTGGTGAATATTGATCTAGGACATACTTTCCATGCAAATTTAAGTAGCTGAGATTTGCCAGTACTCGGATCACCAACTAATAATAGGTGCGTTTCACCGCGTATTCTAATTCCACCCCCTTCCGAAGCGGGCCGTTGCACTCCACCAGCTAAACCTAAAGCCACGGCCAATTTTGCAGTATACAATCCATAAGTCTAAAGTTTGTTTTAAAAATCAAATTAAATAGGAACATAATACATAATTTGAATATAACTGACTTGAGGACTAATTGATGCAATAATAAGATCTCTAGCTGCAAATAAATCGTTTTTATTATCTTCCCAAAATTTTTCAAATTCTTGCACCCATTCATCTGTTATCATGATTGCAGACTGCTGATCATTACAAACAATTAAATGGTTAGCTCTGAAGCATAATTCTATATCAATATAAGAGTTTTCAATAGTTTGATGCCATCTCCGAATAACGGTTCCACTAAAAAAATAACTTAATACAGTATAAATTCAAATAAAAATAGGTATTACTCTCATTTTTACCATATTATAACATCATCACCAGGTTTACACTTATCAACTAAATCGTCTTCTAGCGATACCCACATTGAGCGAGGCATTGCTCCAAGGCCTACTTTACCAATTTGTTCCTAAGATATTAAAATAATGTGTTAATATTTTTAATGCTCAAATATCATAAATGTAGATAAACACTTACTTGAATTTTAATTTCTTGATAATCTTTTATGTATTGATCTTCATCTTTTAATGGCTTTAAATTAGTACCAGGACAGCCTTCTAAGTTAGGGCATCTTAAAGGAACTATCAATTTGTTAAATTGTTCATAATCAATCTTAAAACGAGTATAATAATTCATAATTATAAATTATATCTAACAAGTAAAAGGAAATATAAAAAAATAAAAGTATCTGTTCTAACATTATTATTTTAAGTAACTAATAATTAATTTATGATGTGGTAATTATTAATGGTAAGGCTCTTGTTTTATATATTGAGCCTTTAGAACAACCACTATTAGTCCATATACCATTATTATAAAATATTACAGATTAGAAATATTAAAAATTTAAATTATACCTTTACGTCAAATGGTTCTTTACATTTGGTACAGTAATAAATTCTTTTGTACTCTAATAACTTGGGCAAAACAGTTCGTACAACAGTGCCATTGACACGTAAAAATGAACCAATATCTTCATTGCGAGGAAATATTGTACGATGAAGTTCTGGACACAATGGTAATGCTACATAATAAAAGTCAAAATTATTTACTTATTATCAAAGATATTTAAATATCCATCTAAAAACAATAATAATTGTACAATATACATTTGATCTGTGAAATATAAATAATATATAAATAAACAAGAAAGTAAATTATTTCAAATAAAAATGTATGTTCAATGTTAGAATCAATGTAATATTAAAACAAACCAGTAATTCGAGTGTGTATTTTTTTTTTAACCCTGAGTTTGACTGTGTTATCTTTGTAATTTTTTTTCAAAACTTTTTGAACATTAATCAAATCTTTGTCAAACTGTTCGAGCAAATTAATTGAGTCCTCCAGTATTTCTTCTCCTAATTTGGCATTTTTCTCAAAAAGTGTTAAGAAACTAAAAACCCATATATTCATTAATGAATTCATAGATAAAAATATTTAATGACATACTTAATTGTTAATGAATAATGCTGCTTTTTGTCTTCAGATTTTAGTATATTCAACAGGTCATCTTCATGGTAAGTGTACAGGTAATCTTCGAACATTTTGTTTAACGTGGAAACTTACGTAATTCATACGATTTGTTTGCTGCAAAAAGTTAAATTTCTATTTTGGAAATTAAGCAAAATGTGACTCATAAACCTTGTAAATGGTAAGTAGTAATTAATAAATATTAAAAAATTAATACCACAGATAAATATGATAAATGTGTAAGACACTAAGACGTAAGTACCACGGACTTCGAAATTTAAATTACTTTTTTCTTATCATTTTATTAAAAAACCGGCAAAATGTTAAAGCAACACAATAATATTATCAATTATCATAGGTTAGGTTAGGTTAAGGTTAGATAAAGGTAATCATAATTCATAATATTATTGTTTGTTTGTTATTACATTCTAGCACAATACGATAGATTCTGCCAAAATTCGATTTCTCCAATAATCTATAGTATTTATGTAGGTATAGGTACTATATTTTATTGGATTTATCTTTAGTTGATATATTACCTTGAGTCGTTGTTAATCATTATATTATGCTCATTGTTCAAGATTTTCAAGAAAAAAAATAATACCTACGTATGTATTATCTATATAATATATTATAGCATTGTAATGTGTAGTCAGAATAATTCTGTGGTCACTATTCAGAACTTTTTGTATTGCATAAAGTAATTTTTAATATTATGTAAGTGTACAACATTAAAATTAAATTATGAACAAGCTTATATTTTTATAGCAATTCATGTGGTTTGACTTTTTATGTAAATATATCAAAAAATGCATATAATAATACAATATGTTAATTATTTTCTAACTTGTATAATTATTTTTTTTTTCTAATTAGGTTTAATTTTTAAGTTTGTTTTTAAACAAAAAATTACAGTTATTAATTTTATTTAATTTACAGATAATGAATAACTTAAATTCTGACATCAGCTGTAAGTATGAAGTGCTTGCAGAAATTTCATTTCATGCCGATACCTCAAAGAATCAGTTTGTCAAATTATTATGCAGTCGGCTTTTGGCTCGAAGTTATTTAAAGTACATATAAATTATTAATAAAGTCGTTTATTTAATGTTAAGTAAAGATTAGGTATATATTAGACTATATTGTTTAATACATTTTTAATGCAATGTCAACTGAATAATCAGTTGATTTTAAAATGTATTAATGAATACCCTATTTATATTATCTATTTAAATTGTATGTTTTGCTTTAGTAAACAGGCGGTATCTAATAAAGAAGATGAATGTGCAACTGTTCATGAGCAGTTTAAAAGCTTAAGCACCGATGAATCTCAAGAACATGCTGAATGGTATGCATATTGGGAAAAAAATGGTGAAGACTTTGTAAATGAATCTTGGATAAAATTGTATGGAAGTTGTACATTGGATGATCTTCCAACAGACCCCGAAGAATTATATCAGAATCATAAAGAACAACAGTATCATATGTTGTATTGGAAGTTTATAAATGAGATTAATTCTACTGTTTCAGAAACTGAAAAGTCTACTTCTGAGTATTCGTAAGTTATTATTTAAAATAATTTTTTTTTATCAATAGTAAAAATGTAATTAATTGTATTATGTCCAAGCAGTGATCATGATGAGTGGAGTTCTAGCCATGCCAAAGAACTTGTTGATGATGATCATGTTTCAAATTTTGAGTTTCTATACAAATATAAGTAAGTGAATTAATAAAGTATATCAAAACATTGAATCAATAACTAACTACTACTATAGCATGTATTATGTAGTATGTACGTCATTGTCCACATAAATGTATTATAATTGCCTACTATTTTTAAAGAAAACCACTATTTGTTATTCAACAAGTAATGATAAGTTTTGTTTTAATAAAGCTTATTTTTTTAGACATTTTCAACAAGCAAACAGTCAACTTTCCAAAGCTTATCGCGCAATAAGTATTATTGGATATGCTTATAATGATCAAAATATGTTTGATATGGGATTTGTTCAATATCTTAAAAAAAACATTATTAAATCTACTCGTCGTCTAAATGTATACAGGTATCCAAAGGTGGTGAGTGTTAATTATCTTATTTTAAATTAACTCCTTGATTGATTATTAGTGCGTAGCAGAACTGATATGAACAAAATGTCCAAATAACATTAACTCTAAGAACTCAAATTATTGTGGAGAAAAAGTAATGTGATATTTATAATTATTAATGTTAAGCTTTACACATAGGCGTATAAAATCTATGATTAGAGTGTTAAAACCTAAAGAACTTATTTTTACCCAATTGTTTTCAGTATTTCATTGCTTAAAAATATTATTACTTATAGAGTGTAATGATCTGATATCTCTAAAAATTTTGGTTTGTGTAAAATATATAAGTCATAATTAATCGATTTCCTCCAGTGTACAATTGGTTTATAGTTCACTGTTAATAGTTTAATACATCATATTCTTTATATCAGGTATTTATTTAAATCTTGTACTATGTGTAACAAGTATATAAATTAAACATCTCATGTAATTTTTGAAATTCAATTTTAATACTTAATTAAATATTGATCTGTTTTTATTTTTTCAAGTTATTAATATGAGCCAATATCAGTTGTTAGTTTATCTCTATTGGTTTATTTATTATTATGAACAAAGAATAAAAGCAAATGATGCTTATTTTCATAATCAGATTTAATTCTACATTATTTGTTTTTAATAAAAACTCTTTATTATATTTTTAGTGTGGAGCATCGGCATTTGATGATAACTCGTTATTAAGTAATTCTGAAGATTGTGTGAAGAATAAAGTCAAAAACAAAAAAGCATTAAAAAAAAAAGAATGGAAAGATATAAAAGAAAAAAATACTATTGAAGAAATGAATAGATTGGGCTATAGCTATTTACAAAATGAACCAAAATTGTTAAAATATTGGAAGAAAAGATATTTGTTGTTTTCTGAATTTGATAAAGGGATAAAACTTGATGAAGGTAATTTTATAAGTTTATACTCACAGATTGTAATTAAATGTTAAAACAAATTATTTAAATAGTTAATAATAATTTAACCTCCATACACTGGATATATTTGCAATGTCTTAAAATTGGTTTCAGAGAGTTGGTATTCTGCCACTCCTGAAATAATTAGTATTCATATAGCTGAACGATGTAGTTGCTATTTGCTTGTTGATCCATTTTGCGGAGCAGGCAGTAATATTATTCAATTTGCTAAGACTTGTGAGCTTGGTAAGTCATAAAATGCCATATGTTTCACACATACCACTAACACAATTTAATTTATTTTATATTTCAGTTATAGCTATTGATATTGATCCAAAAAAAATTGAAATAGCTCGTCACAATGCAGAGTTATATGGTGTTGCAGATAGAATTCAATTCATCATTGGCGATTACTTTGCTTTAGCCCCAACTCTTAAAGGTGACGTTGTGTTTTTGTCACCACCTTGGGGTGGTCCTGATCTTATGGACCTTGAAGAGTACAAACTGAGTCACATAATGCCCGAGAAAGGTGGCATAAAGCAAATGATGAGTTTGGCTCGACAAATTACATCAAATATTGCGCTACATTTACCTAAGAATACTAATATTTTTGATGTAAGACAATGTTTTTAGTAATTAGTAGGAACAGATTTATATGTAAATGCATATATGTATCAGATTAAGCTGTTTAAAATTTGATGAGAATTGTCTACGATTTAGATCATTCTTACTAAAATAACACTAATTGTACTTTGTATATTTTGTAATTTTATAGTGCATAGTTTTGTTTCATCTTATGTTTTTACGTTCACTGGTACATAAATTGTGGGTAATAATTTACTTCTGATTAGATTAGATTATATATTATATTGATCTACAATATTTATAACGATAAAATTACGACCAGTTGTTAAAGATAATATTTTAAAGTAAGACAACTTGATCATCCAGTGCAATAAAATAAAATATGAATTACAATTTTTTTTTTCACTTTTTATTTATGTGTAATAAGAATGTATTACTTTGTTTTTTGAAGAATTAAGTGAAGATGACAAAATACTTACTTTTTATATAATTTTAATCACAAATTTTGTAGCATATTACAGTATTTTTAGAAGCATATTTTTAGAATTGTTTATGCATATAAATCTGTTCCCTAGTAATTAGTAATATGTAATAATTAAAAAATATTTACATATTAAACATGAAAGTCATTTAAATTTTTTAGTGTATTCAATCTGCGGAAGATGGTTTTATTGAGGTACAACAGAATATGCTTAATTCAAGGTATAACTCTTTAACAGTTTACTATAGTGAACTGTATGGACTCTGCGATGAAGATACTGGCACATATTATGATGCTTAAAATTTAGAAACAACTGATTTAAATTAATATTTTATATTATGATGTTTAATATTCCACAATTTGGGTTATTTTTAGTGTATGATACTTTCATAAAGCCCTGTCCAGACCAAGAAATATTTGTCAGAAACAAATGTTTTTGACATTATCATCAACAAATGTTTATGTTACCGCTTATGACAGGAAATCAAAAATATTATTGATGACAAAGTCAGAAACACATGTTTCTGATAAATATTTCTCTGGTCTTCACGGAGCTAGAGAGGTTTTATATAAGTAAATGTGTTGAAGTTGTTTGAAAAAAAATCTCGTAAAAAAATATTAACTAATGCATTTGTTACCATTATACTATTGAAGACTATCATTATTTTTAATTATTTTGTATCTATTTAATATTATAATATTATAATGTATACCAAGTTATTCATTTACCCCATAGGACACTTATTATATATAAATATTAATGTTTTTGAAAATATTTTTTCACATAGTTTTAAGTTTTTATTAAAAAATTATATTTTTATCCTTAAAATTTTTCAAGTTTTTTACTTTTTAGAATTACAGCATGCAGTTTTAATTTCATCTTTGAAAGTATTTCTAATTATTTCCATACTTAAAAATATAATTTAGAATGAGTAGTTTATGAGTTATAAGTATTTAGAGTTTAGATAGTGTAGTAATGGACCGACAACAGTGTACCACTCCATGCAGCTCTAAACTTTAAATACTTATAAATTATAACTCATAAACTACTCATACTAAATTCAATTTTTATGTATTGAAATACTTAGAAAAATATTCTGCTTTCAGAGGGGAAATTAAAACTCTGCTGCCTTTCAATCAAGTAAAAAACTTAAAAAAAATTAAGGATAAAAATATTTATTAGTATATGTTAGTCTGTAATTTTTATTTTTGATCAACTAGAAACCTTGTGAAAAATGTTTTTAAAACTTTTCTACTTTTTGAAATAAAGAGTGTTCAACCTATGTTTGAGTAATTTAGATGTCATATGAATATTAAGAGAGATTTCAATTCCACATATCTCTTTTACATACATATTGTATATCTAAAGAGTAAAAGGTAAAATTGTAATTTCTAAAAATTACATAATAATATACACTATTAACAATTTTGTATCATTAATTATTATAAATTTATATTCCTTAACGTTTAAAACACATTGATGAATTTAGCAAGAATAATTTTGTGTAAGCATACATTTGTATTTTATGAAATAGGGTATTAACTATAAGGGTGTAAACTAATTTAGTAAAACAATTGGCAATAAAGAATAAACTGTTATAACATATTATTACCTTAATCGAATAAAAATGAATATAGTCTTTTAATACCTATAAAATAATAATTTTAATAAAAAAAATATTCATATACCTACCTAATTGATTTTACATAATGCCTACAGTATAAAGCAGGGTATCTCAAGCTCTTATAAACGCTGTACCCCTTTTTATCGATACATTTTTTTTTAGTACCCCCTTGTTAGTTACTAAACTAAAATATATATAAAAAAAATTAAAGAATTTTAAAGCATTTTTTCCTTGTTGGTTTGTTGGCCAGACTCGTACCCCTTAAAACATTTCGAGTAGGTACCCCCAAGAGGTACGCGTACCACAGAGAATCCCTGGTATAAAGTATAATATATTATTATATATTAGATAAGATGCAAACGATAAGGTATTACTATGTACTCTATTGTCTCTACAGTCTATAGGACACATCACTATAACTGATTGGGCGGCGTTTTACATTAAATTTTAGGGAAAGATACATTTTGCCCGAAAACGGTGACGCCTTTTTTTCGACCTTAGTAGTTAGCGATACCTGATGTTGGCCATTTCCATATACATATATTTTACTTGTTTTTGAGTTTAAGGTGAAAGTATTTTCGAGTGAATTTAAAAACTAAGCTAGAATGTGTATGACACTATAGGTATCACTTATAGTAAGTTACGTTTTCGAAGAAAAAAGTATGAAATGTTAATTTTAACTAGGAAGGGAAAGAAAACCGTAGATAAACCTATTACCTTTTAATGCATAACCTATTTTTGGCAACCTAGGTTTGATATTTTTTATGTAACTCAATAACTTATTACCATCAATACTTTAAATTTTCACCAGATATTAACATGACAATTTTCCATTCATAATACAACTTTTGAAATAATTTGACCCATTTATAAATAAATAGTTATGCAACATATTTTTTTGGGTAGGGGCCCCCCGAGTGCAAGCTCCATTTCCTCGACACCCCCACTTCGAAGTGCTGAGTATGTCCCCGGCACCCCCACTTGGAAAGTTCGATATCTCGGTAACGGCGAAAGCACAAACGTTGTAATTAAAAGCCCAAACGAAGCACAAACGATTGGGCTACTTCGAATTTCAAAACTTCGAAGTGGGGGTGCCGGGGACATGGAGCTCTGAGTGCATAACATATTATGATCAGCCTCTTCAGTCTTTACGGCAACCCATCTAGTTATGCCTATGACACGTCATAGAAATGTGGCCCGGTAATATATTTTCCCTGGCCATCCCTCATAAGTAGTATGGAAATTAGGATTACTGTACGTCTCTAGTTCTCTACTATAGAGTATAGACACATCACCGCCGTCATAGCCCACAGGGTGAAGAACAAAAAATTGTAAAATACGTATTTGTTTCGTTTATTCTAATAAATGACAATCGTTATGGAACTAAATACAATTTTGTACAAATATTAAACATTTCTCCTCGTACTAAATTTTGAGAAGCAAGTTTAAATTTCAATGTTAAAAATACAAACATATAATATATAAGCAAATAACAATTAATTATGTTTGAGCATGCCATATGTGATCAACATAGGTAAACCTTATTTGAACGTCAAAAATTGTTTCAATCATAATACATATATTAATACAAATTAACACTTAACATATAACTACATTACGATTGATTGTTATAAATTATTAATTAAGTACCTATAGCAATTGCTGCTGAGTCCCGGGACCAGCCAACACTAATATAATATCTATATAGTATCTATTTACCTAATACCTACTTATCTAATTCACAAGATGATTTTTTGGACTGTACCTAATCACTCATTATCTCAAAAAATATTTTGTTCGATAATTCTAAGTCATTGCGATGCAGAATTTAAAAAAAAAATTAAAAGTACATGTACGCATTTATTCAGGAATATGGCATTCAAAATGTACACAGCTGTTAGAATGTCATTAAAAATAATAATAAGAAGCGTAAAAAATATTTTTTTTTCAACAATGTTGTTTTACAATAGGTACATCGGAATTATAAGAAAACAAATTTTCAAAAACTCCTGTAATATTTTTCAAAATAACCGGTGTTTACACTGAATCTGCACCCTACAGTATCTATTATATCATATTAGACATACATATAGCCGTATGTATCATATACCTAAAATACTTGCGATCTCGGTCTTACTGATTGAGGACATCGTACGGGCTTCCCCATGTATAATGAACCTAATTTAATATTATTTAGTATAATAGTATATGTAATTTTTTTAAATATCGGCCGACGGGTTGTCGTAGGCAATGACTTGCGGTCTTTTCGCGTTCTTCCTCCGCGTGGCTGGTCCGTCCCTGACGCTGTCGTCCAGGATTTCTTGGATCTCCAAGAACGTCTTACCGGTGGTCTCGACCGCGTACCTGTGCGAGAAATACGCGCAGGCGAAATTGACGGCGGAGAACGTCCAGAACATGGCGTAGTAGCCGTACCTGTGCGAGACGACCAGGAACGTCTTGTTGGACACGAACGAGAAGAAGGCGAGAGTGACGGACGCGAACGCCGAGCACCGGGACCGGACGTTCACCGGGAACATCTCGCCGAGGAACACCACGGGTATGAACCCGACGCCGATGGAGAACGTGGCGGCAAACGTGGTGTGGCACACGTAAGGCAGCCACCGGTACGCAGCGGCGGCGCCGGCGACGTGTTCGGCGGCGAAGTAGTAGACGCCGAAGACGAACGTGATCACTCCCAGGCCCGCCTCGGAGGCGATCAGCAGTGGCTTCCGGCCCACCCGGTCGACCAGGGCCAGCCCGACGAAGTTGACCACCACCAGAACGACGGCGAACGCGATTATGAACTCGAACTTGCCCAGGATGGGTGACGGTTCGGGCAGTATGAGCGCAGAGTACGCGGTCAGGCTGCTGATGCCTCCGGCGCGCTGTCCCGCGCACGCCACAACCACCACGGCCAGCGCGCGGAAGTTGTTCCGGTTGGTAAACAGCTCGCCCAGCGAAGACCCGTGCTCCATGTCCTTCCGCACGTTGGCCTCCATCAGCCGGAGCTCCGCGGCCACGGTGGCGTCCACGGCTTCGTCGCCGTTGCCACTTTCGGCGTCGCAGCCCCTGTACCAGCGCAGGCATCGGGCCGCGTCGGCCGCCCGGCCCACCTTGAGCAGGTAGTACGGCGACTCGCGCACCCAGAGGAACGCGGTGAAGAACAGCACGGGCACGACGGCAGACGTAGCGTTGAGCGTGTGGTACGACACGTACGGGCCGACGATCACTTCGAACAGCACGCCGCCGCTGAGCTGTATGGTGAACACGCTGCCCAGGGCGCCGCGGATGCCAACGCCCGCGATCTCGCCCAAGAACACCGGCACCACCGTGTACGAGACGCCCTTGCCCAGGCCCGCCATCAGCCTGGCCGTGTACAGGGCGAACGTGGTGGGCACGAACAGCGTCAGCGACCAGGAAGCGATGAACAGCGGGCCGAGAGCGGCGATCACCTTCTTCCGGCCATACCGGTCCATCAGGTAGCCGCCGAACAGCGGGCTGATGAAGTTTCCCATGTCCATCATGCACACTATCCATGACAGCTGGTCGTAGGTCACGTGTAGCTCGCCCGTCTCGTGCTTCATGAACTTCTCGGACGCCGAGCTTGGCCATCCCAGCCACATGCCACTGATGAATATCGACATGGACGCTATAATAATAATAATAATAATAATAATATAATATAAGAGTAGGTGGGTCATGATAGTATTTAAAGATATTATATTTTTGAACTCAGTCATCACAGGGGGGTCCGTATTTATATGTATATATGAAATTAAATTAAATAAATAAATATTATTATATCGTATAATGAACTTATATCGTGACTCTTCTTTATATTTATTGGATCTATATTAAATGATTGGGAACTGTGATATTCGTAACACTACCCGGTGAATATTATAAATATTGTGTACCAGTCTTTCGAATTGCGTCCCACTCTTGTATTAAAATAAAGGTAACACAAATTGTGTCTTGAGTTGATTTATTAGACATATTTTGTTAGTGGTTTTTTAACTGATTTTTAATTTTATAAAATCATTTACCTTGCCCGAACATCATACGTTTTTAGAAGTTCTAAAAAATATGCAAACCCATACTATAATACTAATAAAAGTCTAGAAAAAGTCTACGTATCCTACTTCTTAAAAAAACAATAAGATAAACAATATACTATTTAAAGAAAATAAAAATAATTCAATTATCAAATAACAATTAAATAGGTAGTAGGTTAAAAGACATTTTTTTACAATAGAGTTTAATCTCAATTCTCGCCGATTGACCTAGTGAATCAATAAGAATCCTAAAAACAAATTTGAATTCTTCATAAAGTCTTCTTGAATTTGACTTTAACAACCATTTTTGATTTTAAATTCATTAACAATTGAAATATGATCCTTTTAATTCTTACTTGTCTTCATAATATATTTTATTATGAACGTTTTAAGATTTATAGGTAGGTGTACAATGTTCTGTGTAGGACGTAGGTTTATCTCTATAAATATGACATACATTTAATGTCGTTGTGTTTTATAATCAACACATTTTAAATATGATTTTGAACAACTTTTTCTGTATTATCGATTTATTAATAAATAATTACTATTAGTTGCACCCACCTAGTACCTAGGTAAGTATCTACTTACTTACTTATTTATTTATTTTTATTGATGTTTTTTTTAAAAGTGAGTAGGTATTCTAGTTAGTAACTAGTTAGTATTCAAAGTTTAATAACATAATGTTTATTTTTTAGTTGCCGAGGACAAAATATTTGCGGCGAAACACTGTCTGCATACTCTATAATTCAATAATTATAGTTTATATCCTACAAACTCGAGTATAATTTAATCATTTTCTTAAAAGTTTTGTTCGATTTTATGGAAATTTGTTGTAAGTTGTAAATTTCTTCAATTTAAAAAAATGGTGTTATTTATTTTTGTGTGTACCAATCGTATTGCGTGCAACACGTATTCTTATGTATACGACATCCATTTATTTTTTAACGAGTGTCAAGGCTTATTATAAGGTCATAGGGATTAAGGAAAAACATACCTTACGATCATGCTATTTACAGTGGGGCAATGACCTGGTTTTTGTACCCAATGAAAATTAAATTAAATACAACCGAAATTAGAATATTGTTAATCAAATCTGTAATTAAAATAAAATGTAATATTGTTTAATTTGTGTCGTTAAATGTTGAAAAAAATTATATAAGCCACTGTGAGTATAATGTACTAGAATCCGTTATCTTTAAATATTGTTATTAATACAAAATACATAACTTTTTTCTATTACCTATATATTTACGATCATCACCTACCTATCTGTGTAAATAGTGGATCCGGTGTTCATAGAACCTAACCAGCTATGTAAAAATATATGGGCACATTAAGGTATTTAGATACAAATTCCTTAATAGAATGCCTTAAAAAGAGGTTATTCGAGTGAGTAAGGGTACAAAAAAATAATGTAGGCGAGACTCAAGCCTCTCGAAATTTAAAAAAAGTCCTATAACCATTGAAACTAATCGCCATAGTCCACATCCCGTGCATACACTTTCGTCTACTTAGGTACTTAATATTTCATTATTGTAATTTGTGATTGCATAATATTATGAACAGTGCAAGCCGACCATTCTCGGTTCGATGACTTCTTGTTTATTATATAATAAAAAGTTGATGAAATTTTGGTTTATTCTTATCCACGTTGTCAACGTTTATTATTATTATGCAAACGTCATAATAAAACTATAAACTGCACAAGGTTTTAAATTTTAATTGCTGACGATGAGACATAAGTGTATTATTATTTTAACATTAATTTTAATTTTACGATATGTTAATCATTTAATGTGGCAACAATTTCCATAGACCATAGTTAAGTTATTTGATTAATCTAAACGCATTTAGTAATACTTAATGGGGCTATATTATAATTGAAGTGTAATATTGATATTCACCATACGTGAATTAGAATAATTAGGATTGGTTATCATAAAATTCATAACTAGTGTTCTAGATTCCAGATACATTGTTATATTCGAATAACAATATTAATCTCATCTCAATTATTTAGATTCCTATTTTTGGTATATACTCGTAAGATTTATTGATAAAAGTACATTAGACATATTTAAAATTATACATACTATTCATGAGCACAATTATTAATATCACAGTTTTAACAGTGGTATAATAATATGAGTCATTCCGTTTTTTTAAACAGAAAATTCATACAGAAGGAATCAGTTATTTTTGATAATTATATGTATAATTTTTAATCATATATTTCAGAGTTTCAGATAGATAACAAACAATTAATATGTCAAATTTAATTTGACTGTACAAGCATTAAGTAGATTTATAATACATTTGGATATAGCCATGTAGGTATATACATGCAGGCAAATATTTTAATATAACTATTTTAAATTTGTTATGTATTATACATGAGTTCATGGCTAATAATTATTTTGGTACATAATATATGATATACGAACTACCGGGTTTCAAAGACTGAACAAATTTTAAGCTACACTAGAATCTACAATAATGGTTAGATCTATTTTTGTAGATTATCATAAGATGTTAAGTCGCAGCAAGGTTGATTTAGACGAAAAGCGGGAAAATGGGTAACACTCTGTTGTACATTAGGCGCCTTGAGAAGTCATTGTAATGGTTTATGTACTGCAAACAAAACAAACATTGGCTACATACAGTTAAAAAGGGATTCATATTTGTGTTTGTTCATCTCTTAGGTTGGGTTAGGATAAAGCTTGAATGAATGGATGTGTTAAATTTGAATTCAATAACCGAAGAGGTTCCGTCTGTTTATAATATTACTAAGTAGGTACATCGTAAGATCATATTAGGTATTGTGAATAAAGTAATTTAATTTAACTATTAGGCATTAGTACTATAATAGGTAGGTTAAATTATTTTTTAGGTTAGGTTAGGTTTGTTTTCCCCGATGCTTTTGAAAAGTATTGGGAGATTTTTTATATTTGACCCCTCCCCCCCTCAAAGTACCAACTTGATTATTTTTCTGACTAGAAAAGATGCTGAAGTAGAAAATCGAACATTTTTACAGTATTTCCAAAAGCTGATGACATATAAGTACAAAAAAAATGAGATACACATCATTGTAAAATTAATATATTCATTGCTCCTCTCAGAATTTGAAATCTTAACCTTAACGGTTTTTATATATTATAATATTTGTTTAAGTGTTTAAAAATAGCTATTACAAACATTTAAAAAAAATATAAACCCTGAAACATTTTTATTTCATTTTTTGTTTTATTTTTATTTCAATGTATGCTTATTGTTGCGTATAGATGTGATATGTTGTTTTGTGCAAACAAATGAAATACCAATCATAACTATACGCTATCTAGAAGTTATTGTAATATCGTATGTTCTTTTATACACATGATCTTACCGGCTATAGTGGCGTATATTTGTCTATGAACTCCCGATTTAAGCATCTTTGAAAGTGTTTCGGTTCTTCTTCGTCAAATGCACAAATTATTGTAACTATAATACCAATTATTAAGTCACCTGTAACAAAAACATAATTAAATTGTTTGAATACATTCATCGTTTACGACTTTATGAGGTGTGCATTTTCTCATTATTGACTCGAATTTAGTACAAACTAAAATGTTCGGAAGGACGATAATAATTAACCTATATATTATATATTATATATACACCGATTATAATATAAATAGTATAATATGACATTAAAATTGTTGTACAGTTCAACCAAAAGTTACATCTTGGTTATTTTATAATCCAAGAGAAAAGTGAAAGGTATATACAATGATGATCAACATGCTATGATATCTGAGAGGTACCTGTAGTCAAAATTAAAAAGTTTCATTTTCTAAAAAATTTTTTAGTTTACTCTAACTTCTATGTAACTTTTAAGTAAATAAATTATCAATTTTTTATGAGTAAAAACATATAATTTATAATTGTACAGAAGTATATATATATAAATATTTTTTTAAAAAAGTTCTTATAATATACTTAAATATTTTAAGTTATATAATTATGAATTATGATACAGGTGATAATTGATAGGTGTGCGTGATTAATTATTTGGATATTACACATATTTTTAGATTATTTACTATCTTCTGGGGGGGGGGGCACATTTAGCCCTCGGGCAGTAGTTTGGAGACCCCTGCCATATTTTATTTTATTTTTAATATTTAAAATTTTTAAAATTTTTACAATCTATAATTTGTGACCTTAGAATAAAATATGCGGTGTAGGTAACGATAAAAAAATAAAATTAGGTATCCATTTCAGTAAGTATATCAACGGTAACGTTAATGTAATTTTTTTTATTATTATTTAAAATGAAAATTTATAATCTGTACGATAATATGACTATAAGTAAGTTAAACTTAAACTATTCAATTGGATATTGTAATAATATATTAATACAATAATATAATCACACTATGTCCATAGACGGAAATCTTGTTTAATATATATTAGGCGGGGAGGGTTTAAATATTCTGTAGCATATTATGCCATATGATATAGAGTTATTTAATGTTTAAGTTTATGCTTTATCCCCACACTACAAACACAATTTGCCAATATATACATTTTTGGCAAAAACACTATATGATTATCTAGTCAATTTATTACAAACATAATAATATCTAATGTATTATTTATTATTAATAGATGTATAAATAATAATTATAACAAAATACAATTGTTACTAATTTGTTTTAAGGTAAAAAAAATTCCACAAACAATTACTAAGATAACTCAAAAATGTTATTTTGGAGGGGTTAAGCCTCCGTAAGCCCGTCAACTATCATCGCCTATGCCTGCCTATATGGCTATATGTCAGCATTTTTAACATCGTTCATACTATTGTTGTTATTATTATGTCCCATCCAGACCAAGAAATATTTCGCAGAAACATACCTAATATGTTTCTGATATTGTCGCCGACAAATATTTATGTTACCGCTTGTGATGGGAAATCAGAAATATTGTCAACTGCAATGTCGGAAACACGTGTTTCTGACAAATTTCTCTTTGGTTAAAAGTTCTTTAGTTTCGATGATACTGATTTTTAATGGATTTTCAAGTAGGTTTTAATTGTTGAGTTTTGACTAGGTATGTTAAAATACTCACGTGTTGTTAGTAAACAATAATCATAATATCATTTGAACCAAAGTTCCTCCTCGATGAATAAAATAACGTTACACTATGTTTAGGTTGAACACAAATTACAATTATTAGGTAAACTAAATACTAATAATCGATCGGAGATTAATGCGAAAAAAAGGCACAGTGGATACGTTCATGTTCAGTCAAACGTTTGGCTACTATAATATAAATATATAAAATGTGAGATGTACAGAATTCCATTTCCCCACTATAACATTTCGAACAAATCGTTTTTATGAATCATCTATACTATTTACTATTAAGATTACAAAGCATAATAAATATACAATTATTAAAAATTAAAAAATTACCAAACAATTAAATTTGACATAAATAATCTATGCATGACGCGTTTATATACAGATTAAAGCTTTATATACTCATTAGATTATGATTAGTATATTATTTTGGTTATATAACATATAAATCTAATTTATGTCAATGTAGTTACACGAATGGCCAAGCTGCGGGGGTCTTTATGTTCAATAAAAAAAAAACAAATATATAATACATATTATATTCCATTTTATTTTATACGATTACAAAGTTATAAGTTCTACATAGAGTCCTGACCCTTCCACCCATAATTATTTCAATACCTATTTAATGTATTTTTTTTTAATATTACGTATTTACGTTACTTATACAGTGCATTAATATTAATCGGTAATTACAAAATCATAATATTTGTCATTTAAAAGTGAATTCATTATTTTATATTTGGACGATGACAAAATATGACGGTTTACAATAATTATTATGTTTTCTATTAATAGACTTTTATTGATGGGCGGTGGAACTATTGATGTCAACCAATAACAATAATGTGTCTACAATTAGTACAATTAATATACTTAGATAAAATATGGATTGCACAGTTAATATTGTATAGTGAGTATTTAATACATAATATACCCATCATGTTGGTTTATAAATTATAATTTTCTCCAAAAACAATAATATTAATGGTTATAATTGGAAGCATTCGATTGAGTGATTATGCCGATGAAGTCCCTTACACTTTTTATATTAATATTTATGGTTTTAGTTAGGTGCCTAAATGATTTATTATTAAAATTAGTACCTATAAATAATGACTTATTTGTTATTAATACCAATTAATATTTGCTTTAGTTATGGGTAGGGTATGTTAGTGTTTTTTTTTCATAACACTGAATGATTTCATTATATAGAGAACTAGAAAGTCTCTAATTTGTATAGGAAATAGATATTATATCTTAAACATTTTAATTGGAGATTTGATTTTAGTTGTTTCCGCATTAACTTGAATATCGATATCAATATAAGAACTAGTCAGAGACCATTACATATCACTCGAGTGTTATTTTTATAAACTATATCTACCAAATACGTGCTTATATGCTAAAAATTTAAATCAACAACCAAACTTTATCATATAAATACATATTATTTATTTCAAAAAATTACATATTTTCTATAGAGCGGTAAAAACTTAAAACAAATATTTTTAGAATAATAATTTTAAAAGATTAAGTCGTTAAGTTTACTAGTCTTCTTTATTAATACTTAATATTTTAATATTAATATCAATACTTAATATTTTAATATTAATATCAATACTTAATATTTTAATATTTTAATACTAACAAAACTATTTATATAGGTACGAGTAAGAAAAAAAAAACTAAGAATGTTGTATATTATCATAAGGTATTAGAATAATTTTTTTTTTTTTTGTAAAATCGTTGTTATTAATTATCCCAATTCAAATTCAATATTCATAATTAAGACAGGACAACGTCTGTCGGGTCAGCAAGAACAGGTTATCCAAAAGTACTTAATATTTTAATTGCCTAGGACAGAGTGCCATGTGTTGTTCATCACATGTTTATTAAATAATATTCTTTTTGATGAAATTTTTCTGTCTAAAACAAGTTTAAATTTTATCAAAATCCGTTGTTCAAAAATATTTTATAATTTATACCTAACTACTTTTTTTATTTTATTCCAGCTCCTGGAAGTAATTAGATTTATTTTGTAAAAAGTGTTTGTCCTCTAGAGGTAGAGAAATATTTATGGAATATTCCAAGTTCCTGAGCACATTTCTTCGAAAATATTTCTAGTATATATATTTATATTTATATATGGGTTCTAAACGTTCTCGATTCAAGACTGGTATGTTGCTAAATTCCATGATATTGCTTACAAAACTTAAAAATTAAATCTCCAAAAAATGTTTTAGCCAAAAATTAAATTTTTTCATGAATTAAAATGGAAGTAAAAGCCAATAGATACAAAAAACCGTTCCGGAGGATCTGGTCCAATTGGAACTTTGGCTAAAAACGTATTTAAAAAAATATGATTTATATCAATTGACATTTTTAAAATGTTGCGACTTGCATGAATCTACACACCTGAACATCTCACCACTATTTTTGAAAGAAAACCCTGCATTTATATGCTTGTGTTTTATCAAAAAGTCTATGGTCAAATCATAAGATGGTAAAAAAAATTATACTTTATATTTGACTGTAACTACCCTATATAAGATCATCCAAAAATACAATTTTATAAAAGTAAATTCATGGTTTTTACTAGAATAGTATAGGTTTTGATAAAATATAGGTACTTAACCAGCGTTAAATTTTTTGGCGCCATAAACTTGGTGCGTATTATAATAATAGTCAAATATAATAATATGATGATTATACACGTCTAGAATAGAATATCGTATTGGCCGCCAAAAATTACAGCCTTGACACTTTTTCGCATTCCACAACCATAATATCTCAACCCTATCGCCCCTTATCCAAACTATCTTAAGTGTTAAATATAGGTATATGCTATTATAATATTATAACGATTAACGATATAATGCTTTTAAATTCCGTGTATAATTATTTAGAGTTATCAGACTTAGATTACAGTTATAGGACCAGAGTCGAGCTGATTATATGTGGCGCTGACATTCCATTAAAATAATATTATAATGTTAGCCATCGAGTTTTAACGCGGTTCAATCAATCGTATCAATTATAAATTGATTAGTATAATAACAATAATTGTTATTGTTGTCGTACATTCAATTTACTGTGAAAAATAGTACATATTAATGTTCTACAACTGACATTAGTTCCTAACACAGTTTGGTAACGATAATGGTACTGGAAAAAACAATTAGTAATAATGACATATAGCATATAGAACTATATTTTGCCGAAAAGAATCACAAATATTATATTAAATCATAGGATTATGTTATATCACTACATCAATACCGTGGAGTACCAATATGTGGCAAAATACCATAATATAATAATGGTCTGAAATCCGAATAGGTATACATCACAGAATTGGTTTTCTCATCATGTTCTAATTCAAAAACGAATAACTATATATAGGTAGTTGAAATATTTACTAAATTTTTATATATATATACATACCGCATACATAGTTTTCAAAATATTTCGATTATTTTTTAAATTTATTTTTAGACATTTGACATTTGGTACTTTTTTTAGTTTAATTTCTTTAAATATCAATAATTTTGGACTATTAAAAAACCTGAACATTTAATGCAAAATTGCTCAAACGCTGTTATTGTAAACCAGGGGTCACCAAATGGCGGCCCGCGAATGTATTTTAACCGGCCCGCAGACTGAGACGAAAATCCAATAATTTAATACGAATTTCAATCAGATGATGTCATAAAAAATTTGTATAATGAAAAGTATTCAAAAACTGAAATTGATTCTACATATGATGAATTTTGGTTGAAATATGTATCTGAAAAGAAATACCCGACATTGAAATTATTGACAGTGAAAATGTGTACAATGTTTGGCTCCACATACGTCTGTGAGTCTGCTTTTTCAAAAACGAATTATATCAAAAACAAATTCCGATCCCGACTCACCAACGAACACCTTGAAATGATGATGAAGATAGCTACCACCAACCATAACCCCGACTTAAAGCAGCTAGTTGAAAGCAAGATCTGCCATTTTTCTCATTAAAAATATTAATTTATAATTGTTTCATATATTTATTAAATTTAATTATATTTTCATTAGTCTTAGTTACATAATAATTAATAAGTGTACATACTTTTTTTTTTTAGAAATAAAGTATTTTTGACCAACCGGCATATTATAATAATTATTATGAACTTTGAATTTTTATGGCCTGCGAGAATTTTCCGAATTCTTAATGTGGCCCGCGGAAAATATTAATTGGTGACCCCTGTTGTAAACATTCAAAAATATTAAAAATACAAATTCACGATATTTTGAAATACTCTATAGGCAATTCTTGCTAAGTAGTACGCACTCTTGTGGCAGAAAGTAGTACTTCTCAAAGAAGTACTCTGTACTCTTTAGTAGTGTAGTCAGACAGTGATAATGTGTTTTGATTACTCAGCAAATCATTATAATTAATATTTAAACAATAATTTAAACTTTTCTTATTAAATTACTTATACTAATTTAAGTAATATAATTAATAGTTATGTCTGACCAAACCACGAATAGAACTAATTGTTGTGTATATGGCTGTTATATCTATTTCAGATACTGTTGATGGCATATTTAAGTCATGTGCTTTAATGCAATTTGTATCTATTAAAGGCCTAGGTTTGTAATTTTGTACTGACGTTTCTTTTCTAGCAGACCAAACACATTTTATATCTGTAGATGATATTTTCTCAAATTCCGATATATTTTCCCTAATAAAGTAAATATTTAGGTGAGTATTGTAAATAAGTTGAATATAAACTATATTTTAACATGTGTATAACAAAGATACATACTAGTTAATAATAAAATATGTTTATAATAAAAATAATATAATACCTATTTTAATCAACATTTCTAAATTAAATATCATTAGTTGTAATGTGTTTAATTAATACCTTGTGCATTGAATAAGTATTGCTGATACATGCTTACAACGGCCGCTTGCTCCAGCCTTACACGAGCAAAGAAATTCAACCAACTTTATTTTGTAATTATTATCATTTTTTAGTTTTTCCATTTCAATTGAACCATTTATTTCATGAGGATGACTAGATAATGCACTAGTTTGTAAACACAATGCATATAAACATATCTTACTTTCTATTATACTTTTTATTCCACACAATATTATATGACCTACATGACAAAATATTGTATAATTAACAATAATTGTTAAATTATGAATATATTATTATTTAAGTTGGAAGTTTAAGCAATACACAAACCTGCATTTAAAACTTCCTCCCCTTCTGAAACACATCTTGCTCCTGGAGTACACTGAAGATAATTAAACATTTCATTAATGCTTAAAAATGCCTTTTGCTTATCCATTTTATTATTAAAAACAATGAGAGAAATATTTAAAAATTATAAATTGTTATCTCAACAAGAACTTTATTAATTTAAATTATACAATAAGTGTTTACTATTTAGTCATTCATAAAAATTCATGATTCTATTAATAAAAATTAAGATTATAAAGCCTAATACGTATATTAGTAATGTATAGAGTACTTCTTTGAACCACCATTTTGTAAATTATTTTGGCGGGAACTCTTAATTTGAACACCAATAGTTACTATAATATTATATTTTCAAACATAAGCTATTGAAATTGAAAGTTTTATGAATGTTTAACTACCTATAAGATAATTTCAAATATTATTTTGTCTAAATTTGATATTCAAACGCTTCTAATTTCTAATTAAATATTTTATTATTGCTGTGAGGACTACCTATCAAAAACTGTATTGCAATTTTCATGTTTTTTAATAATAAACAAATTTTTATCACACATAAATTGAAAAAAAATATAAAATTATAGAATTTTAAATGTAACCAAAAAGACCCAACATATTATCATGGTCTAGAAAATACAAATATAGATGAATATTTAATGGACATTTAAATGCTCAACGGTTATTTTATTTTTGAATTAATATTGCAGTATCTTTATACTCACAACATGAAGGTTGTAGCAGTAACAACATATTTATTAATAGCATTTATATTATGCAAACATTTCTTTATTCTTATTTAGGTTCAACCTTTTTTTACCTATAGAAAAATACCTATGTCTATTACTTATTGAATATCGAACAATAGAACACATGTAATGAGTTATTACTAATACTTGTAAAATATTTATTAATATTAAACTTGTCTCCTTTTTTAGTTTTTGGTCACAAAGTTTGATATCATATCCATGTTGGTATATTTCAATTAAAAAATGTAAATACCACTTGGTACCTGCTATTATGCATATTAGCAATGACAGGAAATTATGGTTATCAAACAAAATTCCCGGAAAACCGATTAGAAAATACGTCCCCACGATATGTCCGCAATAAAACTAATAATAATAGTTAAAGAATTGTGCCTTGGCGAATAATAAACCGACTTGCCCCACCCTAATGAGCTTCTGGCAAACCGATCAAAATAAAACCGGTCTGGGTGATCCAAAATCACTAGAATCATTTTGGTCGTGAGTGTTCGAGGGTTTTTCTCCGATAATTGTTGTGAGTGCTCAATAAACTTTGATTTTCCATTGAGTTTATTCTTAATTTTTTTTTTCTGGTAAATTTCTATTTGATTTTTTTCAGCATTGTTGTAATACTAGTTTCATACTCATCCAACGGACTTAATCAATAAATAATTATTTACAGCTATTACGGATCACTGCAGCAATTATCAGTAAGATATATAATAGTTTGTCATTAATAAAATTATTAATTTACCTGTCATAATATGTTTTGGGGTCCTTAAATACTTATAATGATAATATTATTTATTATGTATTTTAAAAGAACAAAAAAAAATTGAATAAACCTTATTATTATAAATGTCTTAGAATCAGAATAGATAACTATGGTTGGAATAGATAAGTTGTTCCAAACTTATTTAACGCTTGATAGAAGCTACAACTTAACTGCACGGGTAAAGGAATACCATCATAAACCCAAAAATTAAACTTAATTTTATACCCTTAAGGAATTTCAGTATTTTTACATCAATATGTGTCTTGTTTTTATACTTTATTATGTATTAGTCAATATACATTTTAATCTTAAGAGTTACTAAACGCATGATTAATAAACACAGTACCTGCAATAATACATTAAAAAAAATGTTTATTAGCTTTCAACATACAAGTTATTGTAGCTCCACAATTTACAATAATATATGTATGTTACGGACAATGTGGTTCTGCCCTGGCAATGTAAATCGCGATTTTTTTTTTTAATCAACTAATATTATTTTTATTATTATTATAAATTATAATTATTACCTATTAATATATATTATATACATTATTATTTATTTATATTATTTTAAAATATTGATTTTTTTTTTAAATAATCATTATTAATTTTATTCATGTATCATAATATAAAATATTAGAAATATTTGATGGAATAATAAAAAAATTTAACAAGTATATCATAATTTTATTTTTATAATAAATTATAACTTTATTATTAGTTATTACCTATTTATTCGCACAAGATTTAGAAGCTTAGCACTTAGAATTACATAGTCTGTCTGCTTTTCTACACTTGCATTTATTTGTTTTGCAGCCATGTATACAAGTACAGTGTACGTGTACACCGATCTCCTTATCCTTATCCTTGTATTCCTAAATTAGAAAATGATCTGTGTTCTTGTATTCCACATTGCCCATAACATAGACATATAGCAAATTGAATTAACTTAGGTATAAAATATACTTAAGTGTTTTATTCAATGCTAATATCCATTACTTGAGGTATAATAACTCATCAGTCATACATATTATATTGTATGTTACAGATATGCTGAAATTATTCTTCGTAATCAGTGAGTACCATTGTCTTAAAATACATCTTATCATTGTTTTTACAACAATTTAACACAGCCGTGGTGGATTTGAGATTCGTCTCCCATGCGTCTATATTATACAAACACCGTTTTCTTCATGAGATATTTAATAAGTTGGGTTTTTCTTCCTCTGATATGTCCACAGTTACTTTGACGACATTGGTGAAATCTGAGGATGCGGCCGAATGGATTTGTGAAGAAATTAATCAAATGGGCAACTGTAGTTCCTTACCTAAGATTCCACCTTTGATAAGAATGATGGAGATTAAGAGCAATACTAATGAATATCCAGACGCCTTCTATTGCCCGTGAGTATATCATTGAATAATAATACATTTAACGGTATAATATAATATATTCAAACATGGACAAGTTATTACAATTAATTAACTTGATTTCGTTATGTTAAGTTTACGTTAAGAATGTTAAGTTATTTGTTAAAAAAATATAGTTAAAATTTAACCCTATAGAAGTTAAAAACATACTGTGGAGAAATAAATACTAACTTAACTTAAAGTTTAAAAGAAATTAATTTGTTTTGTTTTTATTACGACCTCTCGGCTTTGCCTGTCACACATACTGATTCTGCAATTTTCAAACATTTTTAATAATAAATTAGATATAATTAGCCCGAATTAGGTATTGAGTATAATTATTGTTTAAAAGGCGATCTATTAATTATTCTTTTCTATTGTACATTAATACTATTTTTTTTTTTTTTTTGAAATTACATGTATCAACTTAATTATTAAATTACTAAATGGAATAGCGTAATGGATATTTATTCGTTTATTTAAAATTATTATATAGAGAGTGCAGGTTAACAAAAAGTAATTCGTTAATTTTTTTTTTAACTACAGGTATGAAAAATTCATAAATATTATTTTCTTAAATTATTATTTTTGCAAATTAACTAGAAAAAGCTAGGCTATTACAATATATACTTTACAGTATGTTATTAAGTCGGTTCGGAAATAAACTATAGCAACTAGCAGTTTAGTTTGAAAGTAAAAAAAATAATTTTTGCAATAGTTTTTACTTAAGTATTATCAATTTTATGATTTTAAATTATGAAATATTTATTGAAAGAAAAAATACTTTTTTGGGCATAAAATTAATTGGTTAAAAATTACTCCATATTTCTATAATTGATAGACGACTAGTATTAGTAGCATTCAGGTACACTTTACGGATCGCTTACAAGCTATTTTTAGCCAATGGGTCACATCGAATAGCACTGTAGGTATAAAACTATAGACGTAAAGTCGTATATAGATGTGCATTGTGGAGGGCTGCAATATTTCTGGTAGACCCAATGAGTTTTATAATAACTTTTTAATAATCAATAATATATATAAAAAGAGTATTGTACATATTTGTTTTCACCACTAATATGAAATGTGTTAAAATTTGAATAGATATTATTAACAGTTTTCAAGAATTGATTATTACAGGTTTGTAACTTGTAAATTCTGTGAGGCATTTACAATTATAGCACCCCACTTCTAGAGGTCAGCTAGTTGTATATATGCTTATACCCATGTAATTATCGTTTTATCAAATGTACCCATTTTATTTTTAATTCGTAATTTTCTGTTTCCGATTTGTCAAACGCAGATACAGTATTGTGAATATGAACACCAAGTGCATACATACGTACTTTCTGAGTTGTTATGATCATATGACCGAAGAAGAGAAAACTTTCTTCTCGGAAAATTTGCCAATGTTTGACGACTTGTCTTTCTGCATCCCTAACCGGCCTTACAAGAAAGGTTTGTTGACATTAAAATAAAATAAACCCAGTACAGGTAAAATGTGAATAATACGAGAAAAAAACTTGAAAACATTAATCTATTATACATTTTAATACAGGTATATTGAAAACTACGAAGGAACATCTATAAAATACAATATTGTATCATTATGTTGTCAATTTACGTTGTACTTATGTGTAAATGTATAATATTATGCAAGATATTTATTAATATTTATACCTTTATAATTTCGTTTGATGCCTGTGGCCTATATACTTATTAGTTTATTACAATAACTATAATATAGTTGTTCGGTCTGTATCTGTATGTGCATAGTAGTCCCCCCCTTCCTTCAAATGTATTAACTATATTATTATAGTTATACAGAACACTAACTTGATATAATAGTAGGGGTAATCGGTAAAAAAGACCAAGGAAAAAAAGAACACGGAAAAAAAGAACAATTTTTAAAAATTTTAAACAGTGTCCCACTAATCAATATTCTTTAAAAAAACAATTTTAATATAATGCATAGACACTTATGCTATATTTTTGGTATTATTTATTATTATTATTATTTATTATAAAAAAATACGAAACATAAATTTTTGATTTAGAACGTTCATCGAACTCGGAGACACCTCGAGCATAAATCTCGACTGTATTTGTAGAGGATGTCATAGCCATTAATTTCATTTTTGATACTGCTTTCATAACAATTTCCATTTCAAATGTATTGAAAAAATTGAAGAATATAAAAATTTAATGGAAACACTTGAACACTTCAATGACTGTCAATAGACTAAAATATGTTCACTCAAATTATAGCTCTAAAGTATTAAAAGGTCACCTATAGTCAACTATAAGGGCACTAGGATTACTTAGGGCATTTCCAGTAATAAAAATGTATCTTACTCTATATTATTATACTAAGCTTTATTGTATTTATGTTTCGTATTTTTTTTATTATAAATAATACCAAAAATATAGCATAAGTGTCTATGCATTATATTAAAATTTTTGTTTTAAAAAATATTGATTAGTGGGACACTGTTTAAAATTTCTAAAAGTTGTTCTTTTTTTCCGTGTTCTTTTTTTCCTTTGCTCTTTTTTTCCGTGTTCTTTTTTACTTGTTCTTTTTTTCCGTGTTCTTTTTTTCCTTGGTCTTTTTTTCCTAGATTCAATAGTAGGTATACCTAATTAGCCGCGAGCGTAAAATACAAACTAAACTTACTCTTTAGTTATTTTACTACAACAGTTTGATCGAATAATTCTATCTTTAATCCAATAAGTATAATTTTGTGAGTACAACGTACACACATACACGTTTCATAAAAATAATTCATCGACGGTATTTTCATATTTCCCTTGTAGGTAAATATAGTAAAAAAATGACAAACCGTTGTAGTAGCACATTTTACTTAATATTACCTTATCGAGACTGCTCAATTTAATTTCATTGTCGTTATTAGAATTTAAAGAACATTCAGCTTGTTTGAGAGAACTGGCAATATCCAATGATCAATTAGACGAACCGCAGAAGGAGTGGCAGCTGAATCTGGAACGGCAAAAGTTGATGTACGAATTGCAGAAATTTGAGGAGATGGAAAATGATCAGATAACGGACATTGTGGACCTACATTTTTGGCGTCTGCATGACCAAAAGAAATGCCAGTGAGTTTTAGTTTAGTGTGTATTATAGGTAATAATAATAATAATGTACAGTAGATTAGTAGTCTCATTCAGTCTCAGTTCCTTTGATATTGCCTTAGACCTCATTTTGATTATATTACGTGCAAGTCAATTGAAGTATTAGGTTTTATGATGAGAAACGCTGAATAATTTAAATTTTCAAGGTATTTCAAGGCTTTATAGTATAGATTAGTTGGTCGATTCCTCAGTATGGTTCTGTGGTATGCGGGAAACCTCACTCAATGGTTTACAGCCAACATTTGCTTCAACGGGGTTCAAGTTAAATATCTTGCATCCTCCTCATAACAACTACGACCCAGTGCTCTAATACTTGCTCCTATCTGGCTATCTCTGGCCTATCGCCGTCTTGCTTGTGACTTAATTTTCCTATCCATTACAGTGACCTCCTAGACACCTAATGTACAGCAGAGCGACATCCACTGCTCACCCGCTTTTTTCTCCTATATATTTATATTATGTTATAGCAAAATGCAAATGCCAAATACTGTAATATATTTTAAGAAATTGGGCTTCCATCCGTCATGTTAAACACATTTTTAAAACATATTATAATAATACCACAGCGTGTTTTTCTCGCTCAATTTTTATTTTTATTTAATATATTCCCATTTTGTATAGATATTTCAAAGACTTTATGCGGTTACGATACATACAAATGCGTTCACGATGCGGAATGAAGACCGAAAAGTTTTTCCGCCAACTTTTAGGCAACATATGGCCGATGTCGGCGTTAGCGGTCAGTATACCTATAACTATTGTCTATTAATAATAATTATTTAAATTAATCAGGTACTTCCGGATTCAATCTTTTTAAACCATATATCTATACATATATACCTAAGTTTCACAAGCGAAAAAAAGGGATTTAGCTCTTCCCACTTAAAAAATTAGCAACACCAATATTATAAAAGGTCTGTTCGACCTTTTTATTTTATAAAATATGTGTAGGCGCACGATATTGTACATATAGATAGCCTATATTATAATTTAATAATAGTAACTGTATAACTTTATAACTTTACTTTTATAATAATAGTTACTTTATTATATTGCCATATGAATAAATAAATAAGTAATTATATTATTATTAATATTGTTATCCTTCAATCTTCATTAGTATTAATTAGATATAGCTCGATCAATATATACGATGAGCATTAATGCAATAATGCGTATATCTGGTATGAAGAGACCTATACCTATCTATAGTACGATCATTTCATTTATATTTATGTATAGAATGCGGGTTTCTTACACTAATCGGTGACTGCAGTCGGCCAAACGATTGTTGTAAGTTTGTTGGATGCGATATGAATAATTGAGGGAGACACCGGATACCTATGACTTTTTTTCTATTCAAATTTGTTTAACCATGGTAAACTGTAGTGGTACAAAATATTTTAAAGAGTATAATAAATAATATAGTTATTAATAAGATTGTTTTATGACATTGCTATATGCCTATATAATTATATAAATACCACCAATTTTGCAATATAATATTATAGTTATAGTACACTATAACAGAGTGTTAAGTGATAACTGTAGGTACCTACATGGTTAGGATGTTTATGACCTTAAAAATTAGTAAAAATATCAAAGCATGCTCTTATAATGCCTTAAAATAATTAAATTGTACATAATAAAATGCGTTATAATTATATAAATCGCATTATTCATTATTCATTAAAAATGCATTTTAAATTGTTGATAGATTATTAACATTATTATATTCATAATAATATATTATAATATTATTATTCATTATTTATTATATCATTATATTTTATACATTTTCTTCATTGAAATCTAAAATTTAAGAAAACTGAAATAAAAACACCCACAAAAAAACAAAAAAAATAGTTTTCAATGCTAAAAGAACCTAAAAAATGCAAAATTAAATTTAATAATATAGGTAATTGCTAATACGTAGTAGCAAATGGATTTATAATTATGATTGTTTTTCAATGTGTACCAGTGCACGACTAAAAGAAAAATAGGTATGCGAAATGCATAAGTATCCTAACCCTATTGATAAGATATCACTGATAATCACTCTAAACTAACTTCTTTTTTTTTGATTGCAGAACAATTGTGAAGTTGATTTATTATCATACCATGAAGGATGACGCGTCATTCAGTCATAATCCGCAAATATTTCGGCTCATCAACGGCGACTGCAAAGTGCAAGCCACTGCTTTTAAATTGATATAGTTGCGTTATCGTCTATTAATTTACATTTATTATAAATTAACTGGAATTTTATTTTACCTATTTATTTTCTTATTTGATTTTGTTGTACTTTATAAAATAATAAAATACACTTGAAAATACACTGGTTAAGATTCATTAGTATCATGTATGGTATATACACCTAATTATAGGTTTTTGCCATTTTCAGATGTATAAAATAAATAATTTTAAAATGTTTCATCACATTAAGTGCTATTACAAGTACGATACATTACATTACAATTACGATTTAATATTTACATTTATGTTAGTGATTACAATGCTATAATAATTCATAGTTAGGTTTGACATTATTTGTTGATTTATTATTCATCTTCCGATGAGAACTCTTCAGTGTCTGATAGGAGAATGTCTTGGGGCAGTCGAGGTCGCAGTCGCCTATTTTGGGTTTTCTTTCCTAGTTGGTAATCGCGGGCTCCGTCCGAGTCTTTCAGCTTAGCGTGAAAGTTTTTAAGTTGGGTTTTAATCCAGATATTTATTAGGGATATTCCAGTATCATTGTGTATTTGGCGATTCCTCATATACCAAGGTGCTTTAAGACAAATTCTAAGGAATTTGTTTTGGAGGGTTTGGATTTTTTTTATTTTAGTGGGCGAGGCTGCCGCCCAAACAGGGCGGGAATACGTTAGAAATGGTCTGATTATTAAGGTATATAGGAGGAGTGATGACTTGATTTGTAACGTTGATCTATAGTTGACTAGAGGGTAAAGATTTCTCATCCTTGTGTTGCCCTGTATGAGTTTTTTGTTTATGTGGATGTTCCAAGTAAGTTTTTCATCTAGGTGGACACCTAGATATTTGAATGCGTCGTCTTTTTTATTCCATTGAATGACCTGGTTGTTTATGTGAATGTTATAGGGGTTGTTGTATCTTTTAAGGGTGAATATTTTAACCTCACTTTTATTTGGGTTTAGATTCAACTTCCATTTTTTGAACCAGGTGATTATTTCATTTAATGAGTTGAGGGGGATTGGAATGTTGTAGCAGTAAATATTAAATAGGGTTGGTCCCAGAACTGATCCTTGGAGGACTCCGACTTTGATTTAAAATAAATAATAATAATAATAATAATAATATGATAAATGATAATTTTGCAATTACATATTTATGTATGGGAATAATTTATAATATTATACTGATCATTGATCAATATATAAATATAGTAATATAGGTACTCGTTATTCTATTAATATACCTACTACAATGTTATTTTACTAAATGCTTTTATAAGTAGGTATGAACTATGAACCATACTATTATATACTATATTACTATGTTCAATAGATATAACCTATAGGTACAATCAATTTCAAACACTCAAAATGAACCTATTAAAGTTTGAACGAAATTGGTGACGCTAATGCTTCGACCCCCCCCCCCTTTAAGTTAAACATTAAGGTAAAAAATATAAAACAATACAAATATTAAACCTATTTATGAAATGCGAATGTGTGAAAAGTAGCAATCTACAGTAAAACCTCTGAACAGTAGACACCACCAGGACTGTCAGAAATGACCACTATTCGAAGGTGTAAAAAAAATTAGAATATATATTAATAATTGTTGTGGTGTCAGCTATTGGGAGGCGTAGGATCTGTACATTTTTACATTTTTACATTTTTAATGTATTTTTATTTCTTGTAATTTGTTTTTTGTCTGAATGCCACATTGTGACATTTTTTTAAGGTTACTTACAAAATTAGTATTTGCTTATTTCTCTTAAAAATTAATGATCTAATTAGATGTATTATAAGTTATAACTACTCCAAATTATTGAGAAAAAAAATTGAAATATATTTTTATACATTTTGTTATTCATTTGTTATCCTATAGGTACGGCTGTTCAACAATGTAGAGAAAATAAATATATGTAATCATATTTATACAGACAGATATTGTGCATCTATACCACAAACTAAAAAAATACAAGGTATTTTATATTCGTATAGTACAAAATATGAAATGTCAAAAAAATGAATACAAGGTCGAAAGTTCCTCATAAAGTCATAAGTTGTTATAAAAGCAAATAAAAAAAATTAAAGAAACAAGGGTACAACTTTTCTTTTATATAAGCATTTTAAGTTGAAGTTTGAAAAACGAAATTCGAATAAAAATACTGGAAAATGAACTAAAAAAGGAAAATAAGACCTAAAAATGCACAAAAATGACCTAAACAATTAAAATATCAAAAAATGCAAAGTAAAAGTTGCATAAATGGATTCGTAGTTACATAACTTAAATTATTTACTAACAAAGCTATGTTTCGCAATCACCAAAAAAATGCACTTTCCTACAAATTCATGCCCCTAGCAATAAATAAACGTAAGTAATATATATTATTTTGTTTTGTTTTATTTTAAAATATTATTAAAACACTGAACATCTAAAACGATTATTGCTGTCACGTCACTGTTTTGTGTTCGTTGGCAATTACCACGGATAAATTAAAATACTATAGATTTAGATAGTCAATCTCATATCATCCCTTATTCAAATAATGAAATTTTATTTTAAGTATCAAAAAATGGCAAAGCCAAATCCAGCGGAGACGCACCGTGTTTTCTGGTTTTAGTTGTGTTATTGTTGCTTAGCATTTTCAACAATTTTACGTTGCACGGTTTTAGTGTTCCCGACCAAACGAAATGGCTACATCTACTCAGTGGCCATATTAACACGACGGCCACACACAATAAAAAGTGGTCTGGTCATTATTATATGCACCGATCATTGGATCCAGCGCCACTGATAGTTAATCAGGATCATGATCACTTGGAGTATTTTGTCCATTGTACAAGTCAATAGATTTTAAATTTGAATTGTACCTATCTTTAGATTTATAAGTTATATTGTCATAACGTGTATTTTTATAAATTAAACCAAAACAGTAAAACGTATGCCTCAAGAACCTAGATGTGTACCTGCTATTTTCCATCTCTCCACTTATTTTGGACGGCTGTTCAAGCAATATAATGAGAACTATATAAATTATGAAAGGTAGCCCTCCACTTATTTTGAGACACTTTGACCCCTCTATCTATTATAGTATTATTCCATAGCTCGTATTTTAGGCATTTTACTTTCGGAAATAAAATAGGCGTCTATATGGACAGGGAGAGTTCTGAAAATTTATATTCCTGTTTTTTTGGGTAAGTACTTAACGACCAGTTACCATAAAACTAAAATTTATATAGAACTAAAAAAGTCGTTAGTAATTAAACCAAAATTAGATTATATAAATGTATTATCTATAAATGGACAAATATTTTAATAGCTAATAAATGGTTATTTCAAATATGTAAGTACCTATGTTGTAAACGACCATCCGGAAAACTATTATTTTCAGCATTGATTATATAATATTGTACAATATAATCAATAGCAATAGGTAAATACTCGGAAAACCACTAAAAATTATCTTAACCATGCGGTCCGATACGGAAGCAATATCATTAGCCCTTGGTGCAACACTGGTGGCCAGCTGGTCACAGTCGGTTTCCGCATGACAAAATAAATATTTTAATATGTTTTTATTATACATGTATCAGCTTATTTTGTCATTGGTTTCAGTACGCCTGTCCGTGGTAGGCGCCATCCCAAAATCTAACCCGTCATACGCTTATAATTGGTACATACGGCTGTAAAAGTGACGTCGAATTTCGATTTTCAGCTTGAAACGGAGGCGTCGCGACTGCCGATTCCATATTCTTTCAAAAACGAAGTACCGTTTTTCTCCAAAATACTACCTAAGGTTGGTTTCCATTTTCCTCCACATTATTTTCGACTAAAATTATGTCTATTTTTCTCCAATATTTTAGCCAGTGTTGTAGTATTACGTACCATATTAATATATTATAAAAATAGAATCACAATATTTATAGTTTATATTAACTTTTTTATTATTTTACTTGTATTAGACATAATACCTGACAAAAATGTTATTATTTTTTTTTTGCCATGCATTAATTATTTATATTATTAACCATTTTATTATTTTATTTATTATTTATTGGAGGATAATAGTCAAGAATCTCGTTTTTGGAGGAAAGCGGTATCTCGTTTTTGGAGAAAAATGGCTACAACTGTCGCGACAGCTGCACCGCTGCCGTTGTTTTGGGGCCCGGCGGTTTATTCCACAGACCTATTAGATCAGCGGTTCCCAAACTTTTTCCCATCGCGGCACATTATTATTAGTTATTATAAGTCACGGCACACTTTGAATAAATATTATCTACTTATCGAATAATACGTATATAGGTAATGATGTCTGATATTATTATCGTTAATAGGTAATAATATTATTTTTTCTTGATAGCTGTACTTGTATATATATATCATAGAATTGTCCCGTGTACTATACATTTTTGGCCTTTCAATATTAAGTAATAATTCGTTCGGTCATACGAAACAGTTACGTTCAAAAAACACAACGGCCAGCCCAAATTGTATTGAAGCTTTGCGACGTTCGTTTTTGTATTAATTATTAGTTTTATTTGTATTATATATTTTAATATTTAAAAAAAAAATCATTTTATGTTTTTTTTATAAAAAAAAGTTCAAGTTGTCGCGGCACACCTTTCAAATTTCACGGCACACTGTTGTGCCGCGGCACACCCTTTGGGAAACACTGTATTAGATAAACGGACAACGGGCACCTACCTGCCACGATTCTACCTGTAGAACAATCCCCATCCCGTAAATGACGCACTATGACTATTGACGCATCGAAACAGCGGCAGCATTGCAGCTATCGCTAAGCCCCCCCTCCCCTCTCACCCGCCGAAAATCGAAATTCGGCATCACGTTGACACCCGGCCACCCGACGGGTGCGCCACGATCGCCGGCCAGGTAGCGCACCACCAATCACCATACAGCGAGTCCCGCATTCCACAGGCGTCCAGCGTCCCGCGCTCGCACCGACTCGTGTCCGTGCCCGACATTAAACATTGTAGAGCCAGTAGGCATTTCGTAACGACACTCACATGTTGCTGTTGGATTAGAATATTAGTTAGTCGTAAGTACTTCATTAAGCCTGTTGTCCGCTTCGCCATCGCCCCGCCGGTTTTCACAACCGTTCCCGACGTTTATCATCAGAGCTGTGAATATTGTTTCGGCTCTTCATCATCGGCGTTGAGCCGTTGAAGGTGATGGCGGCGTTCACGGCTTCTGGCCGTCCATTCGATGTTCTGTCGGAGCCCGAAGATTCGAGCGATTCGGACGATTCTTTTCGCTTTTCCCTCGGCGCTAGTAGCGTCGGACACTCGTCGATATCGATTTCGTCGCTTGGATCCTACGACAGCGACGCCATGGAAGAAGCCATTTACCACGAATTGGAAATCGCCGCTTTGGAGAACGAAGCTAACATGTTGTAAGTGACATTCCTGATTTATAAACGTCATATTCGTCTGTGTGGTAGATTAAAGGCTATAACGGGTTAGGGTATATAAGGCAGGTATGTATAATGTTCATTTATATACTAGTAGGTAACCAAGTCGTACCTTGAGTAAACTAGCAAATATCCGTCTGCACAGTGTTTAATTCTCCTGGTTGTTAAAAGTCAATGCACAAGACTAGTAAATTCTCGGGTCAACGTTATTTTCACTAGGAAGAAATGTGTAAACTCTCCCGGAGCAACAAGTTGACACTTGTCATAGTGTTGACCTGATGGAAATGTGTAAACTATTCAAGGTCAAAATTATGTTTGCCTGGAGTAAATGTGTAAACTCTCTCGAGGCAACAGGTCAACATAAAGTTCATCTGATGTGAATGTGTAAACTCTCCAAGGTCAACATTATGTTTACCTGTGTTGATCATGCGAGTGAGCTATATGTAATAATCTGTCAGCCAATGAAACACTTTTGTTTTTATTATTTATATTTTGCTGTTTATATTTTTTTTTTTTGTATTTAAACTAAAACTTCCTTCAGTATGTTTAATTTTGTTAAAAATATTTTATACACTATACAGTATACTAGCATACTTAATAACTTGTGTGTGGCTTTGTTTGTTAAAAAATCTGGATTTGTAGTTAGACAAGTAAAAAAGTTATTAAATGTGATCTTTATATTTGTGCTTTAACTTCAACTAAACATATATCTGGTGACCTACTGGTGATTCTGAAACATTGATCATTAAATAGTTACTCGAGGTGGACTCACAAACGTATCACCTGATGCTATTTATTTGTGAAAACTATCTGAATCAGAATTTAAAATAATTTAGCAACAGATATCATTTAAATAAAAAAAAAACATTATACAGATATAAGTGATCAAATATTTCTGTAATATTATGAATAAATTACAGTAAGCCAAGTAAACAAGTAATTACAGTAACGTTCAGTAAGCCGATAATAATGTAGTAATTGTTTATTAGTGATGGGAGGCAATGATTAAAAAGTTAGTTTTTTAAAATAAGTTATTCAAATTTTTTTATTTAACTGCAAATTATTCGAATAATTTTTATTCAAATAATTTGTAGATATTCAAAAGTGATTTAATAATTGTTAGTTGAATAACAATTAATAACTTTTTGAGTGACTTACTAATATAGGTAAATCCTTAATAATTTTAGATAGTTGGTACAAGTATAACTATTATGGTAATAACTAGAAAATCAGAATTAGGTACATGTATGATCACAGACAAAGGATACTAATTTAAAGTTTTATCAAAGAAAATATATGGATGATAATTTCTAACTTCGCCCATCACAATGATACCATTGTTATAGACATTAGACAATTAATAGTATGAATCCAGATGATCGTAAATCGTAGTTCAATATTTTGACTCTGTGATTTAGCGATTCTGTGTGACTGTGTTGCAGTTAATAATTTGATTTTTAAAACAATATTGTTAGTTGTATCAATATGTAGTGGCTCAAGAAAAACAACTCCATATTATGGGGAGTATTTAAAAAAAAATGCTAAAGCGCCAAATCAAACTATGTACCATTTGTAATAAATCGTACCAAAGAGAATATGGTACATCAAATTTACTTTAATTTATTTTCATCTTCATTTTAGAAAATGCTTTACCAAAATTATGGACTCGATACCTAGCTAATATCAATTTACCAGGTAATTATTATGTTATTTGAACCTGTCAAAATGTTTTAATGGATATGTATATTGTACAATATAATTATTGTTAATTAATCACTGAACATATTAATAAATTATATAGGAACCTGGGTCATCCCAACACTGCCAACAGCCAAATTCTTCTTATTTTGTTTTTAGAGCTGACAGGACTGATGCTTCAACCTCTAATGAATAATTAATAAAGTGATAAGAACAACTTCTTTTATCAAATAGGTAAATAAAAGTTTTTAAAAAAATATGAAATTATATTGAAATAAATAAATAAAATAAAATCTGACTTAAAACTATAAAGAAAATGTCTAAAAATTGTGTGTTAACGATAGAAGTCAACTGTAGACTTACTACATAGTTCCTTGTTCATATTTTCTATTTTAATATTTTACATAACATATTGATGACTTAAAAATTATAAGAAATATCTAATTAACTAGTTGTAGTCTGTAGATATACCTCGACAATTTTAATTTATATAAGTTATGATCTTTACACTTGACATAGGTAGGTACTTTATTTTTAACATGTCTACTATAAAAAGTAAATAGTAAAGTTTCAATAACTACTGGATGATTATATTATTTTTGTTTACCAATATCCAATTAGTTTGGATTGAAATTAAAATTGTTTATCGTCTGACTGAGGAGATAAAACAATTTGATAATAACAGTTATGTTGCTGCCATTTAATTTGAAGTAATAAATTTAAGAAGTCTACAAATATTATTTACATTTTCTTTTATGATAAATTCTGTTAACACAATAATGTATTAGGTACCAAGGTTTTAATACACATTGTGTAGCATTGCCTTTAGATTTTTAACATGGCTTGGATATAACTTATTAAACATTTTACGTTTTAATAATACTTTGAACTAAAAGATTTTTTACTAAAATACAACTAAAATATATTTAAATACATGTTATTATTTAACAGGTACCTAGGTATATAATATAATAGTAATATTCAATGATGGGCATTAACTTGTTAAAAAGTTAATTTTTTTAAACTTTTAACTTAGGTAACTAGTTAATTATTTTTGTTTTTAACTTATTAACTTATTCAGTCAGTTAAATTTTGTATTGTCTTAACTTTTTAAAGTTAATTATCATTATGGCACACTTAAGTTAATTTTAATTTTTTTTTTATATCACCTATTCACGTGGAACAAACATACAAAACTTATTCTTTCGATTTTGGTAATTTATTTTTCTAATGTTATAATATCATCAATTCATAATAATCAGATTATATTTTAATCTACACTAGTAAATAGTAATAATTAGAATACTGACAAATGATAATTGACAATATTGTTTGGACTGCCGATTTTCACGAGTTTTATTTATAATGATCTACTCGGTATTGAATAATCCGATTTTTAATTCGTCTCTCCAAGTATAGATCTAAAAACCGGCTTAAAAATAAATATCGTAGTGTTTATGGCGATATCAATAATATATACAATATACAACTGGTAAAGTGGTACGACAATATTATTCCAATGAACAAAACAAAAACTAATAAGTTGTCTGAGAATCAAGATACCTATTTATATTTATACTGTCGTATTCGTTATAAATACAAGTATGACACAATATGAGATTATATGTTTGTATAAATCAAAATACTAGGGAAATTTATGGCTTATGAATTTATGATTATTGTGACTTGAAAAAAAATTAACTTTTTTTTAACTGAGTTAAGTTAATTTTATTTTGTGTCTAACTACTTAACTAGTTAATTTTTTTGGGGGATAACTTTTAACTTAACTGAAGGAAATTTTATTGAATTAACTTAACTTGCTATAGTTAATTTTTTTCATTAACTTGCCCACCTTTGGTAATATTTAATCAGGATAAATTGGTGGTTGTAAATACTACCTAAAAAAAGTGTCAAAAGTAGGTATATATAATTACTATTATTATAGGTACTAAAATAATTTTTGTTTTAACCCAACTTCTTTTGAAAAACTTTAAATAAATAGGTAGTAGGTACTAAGGGAGGTAGGTAGCTTACCCATATTAAATTAAATTTAAAATAGTTAGTAGTTTCTTTGAACCTATGCGCGTAACAGGGGCAGATTTAACAATTTGCAACCCTTATCCTAAAAATATCACAATTTAACTCTAACTTAAATATAATTTTTCACAGTATAAAAAATGTGCCTCTCCAAAAAATTGACGCCTTATACAGCAGCATAGTTCACAGTGCCTTAACGCTTTTCCTCTTAGCTGAAGACGCCGTCGTACCTAACCTAACCTAACCTTCCCCCCCCCAATTTCAAAATCCTGGCTACTCCAATGCCTGAGACCGTAGTGCGGTCTGCTGACTCGCTTTTTCTCCTCGCAGTTATCTTGCCGGCCAAATCACTATATATATTTCCGGTCGCCGCCAATTCCACAGCACCAAATCTCTTCGTTCCGTGTGGTGTTGCCGTGTTGGTGTCTGGAATCCTTCAACAGCTCTGTCAACTATACATCACTAAATAATATGTTATATATTATATACTTTTATACTTTTTTTTTTTGTTTGAACCGACGGCGCCGCGGGGACTGCTTGCGCATTACTTCCGCGAAAATATACTTTTATACTACCTATAATCAATGGTACTAGGTACTGATTTATGTAATTTAGTTTACTCAGGTTGTATTGGTTGTAAGCCATTTTAAAACGAAAACTAAGTTTGCTGAAGACATCTCATGTATACATGTATGAGACTCTGTGGCTTACATATCCCGCTTTAAGCTCGCACCCCCCGCAGGAATATTATTTTTAGGGTTTTCTTGGTCCCGTTTGACCTAACGTTATTTTTACAGATGCGATTTGCTGCACAGTATGGCCAAGGCCAACGACAGGATTTCGCCGGGCGAGTTCATGATGATGAAAATGCAAGACAGGCCGCCACGTTACGAAGATATTGGAAAAGACCGTAAAGTTCCTTTTGATATCCACCCCGATGAGGTACGTTTTATCATATTATAATGTAAAATATAATAGTACTTCTAAATACATAATAACATATCGTGGTACTTATACCTATATACCATGGTGGCTGCCTAAATTTAGTCCATGACCATGTGACTAGAGGTGGCGCTTTTCACCATTCACATTTTCTAAAATTATTCGTTTAGTATCTTTTTTTTTTTTATTTGGGATAAACAATCTATACCTTAGGGGCACAATAGTTTTTTATGGTTAGAGTAAATTACACATGATACGCTTGACGTGAGAAGTCATCCACTAATGACACTTAATATTGATTTTTTTTTTATATAAAATTAGTTAAACAACTGAAACTCTGATTTTGGATTAGTTGATGGGAGGGGTGTGAACAAGTAGGTCATGACACCATTTTCGTTTTAAATGTCTGGGTGGGTTTCCAGGAATAGAAAGAATTGCGAGATCTCGTATTAACAGGTTGCTATTAGATGAAAGATGATTGTAGAAGCGTCGGTAATGAGCTATAACTTCTCCGTGTACCAATTTCATTTTTAGATTAGTGTGAATAGTGTTGTTCGAAACGTAAGGAAGAGCATTTAAAAGTTTCCTGAGTGCTATGTTTTGAAATGTTTGTATTTTATTTACGTTTGATTTTTTTGCATTACCCCATAAATGTATGCCATATGTCCAGACTGATTTGATTAAAGATTTATATATGAGCATTGAGCAGTTATATGTTGATATTAGTGTATTTGTTATTGTTAATAAATGTTTTGAGAAGGCGTAATCTAGAGAAATTTAGCATTTCTTAAATATTATTATTTCAAACCAGATCAAATGATATTATTCAAACAATTGATATAATATAGTACAGTTATTTTATTACATTTCAATTGATTTTGTTTTAATATCAAAAAATATTTCAGGTAATGTTTGGTGTCGGTGGTTTTTTTAGTGATAAAAAAGATCACTGAAGTACCTACTATAATATTGAAATATTTTATAAACACAATTAAGTTTTGAGTTGGTAAAAAAAATAAAATTGGATAGTGTTTAGTGTTATAAACAAAAAAATTATTAACTTTTATAACTTTGGTACTTACCTAATAAAAGTTTAAAAAAATTGTGTAAATAATAACTTTTTAACTTATTCTTATTCTTATTAATGTGTATTATTAACTTGACTTAACCTATTTAAAAACATCAACTTGCCCATATTCGCTATAAAATTGGTTGTACAATTATTATTTTTTGTTCTGGGGGAGAGCCACTGTATTTTTGATCCTGATTAAGCCCTGCCGTGTCCAAAAAATTGGGCCTTAACCTTAATTTTATTTGCTGATTATTGATAATGTTATTTATTTATTTTTGTCAGCCGCCTCCCTTGTACGCCTCTATTTTTTATCCACACCCGGCCATGTTCAGGCATAACTCCCTGGAACGGCCGACTAACGACGAAATGGAAATAGACATGGATGAGCCAAACTATTTTATGCTCGACATTATCCATGAAGAGGAACCTTTAGAGACTTCTGAGGATGAGGCGATTGATCTGACCCACGACGAAATCATCGAATCGGAACCGATCTATGAGAATGAAGAATAATTTCCTCTGCTCCAGGTCCAGAATAACAGTATACAGCATTCCGCTGTGCAGATATCCGCCTGGCCATATAGATATTAAAATACATATTATATTATATCATTGTGTCTTACCTTAGGTTTATTTACTTGTGTATATGACCTGCGTTCTCGACATCTTTATCGCTACAGATCACGTCAAATTATTTTTTATTTTATAATACAATTTAGCTGACCGACGTTGCCGGAACTAAAGATTTGTACTCTTAATAAAAAATATTTCAACAAATATATACGTCGTATTTCTTGTAACTTTAAAAGGACATTAGAATGTAACATGCAATTGTCTAACATTGACCATTATTATAATATACTAATATATAACCATTTAGATATAGGTAAAAAAAAATTTACGTTTTCATAAACTGAAAAAAAATTATGTTTGAGCTACCATTTAGCTCTCTAATAGAATTTCAAAAAAATAAGCTACACCTCTAAACACCCTTCATCTTCAAGTCTCGGGGAATCTATTGATATAACTTTTATTGAAAATGGTATTTTTTGTGTCTAACTTCAAATGATTCAAATATCCAATACAATCCATTTTTAGCCGTATAACTCAATTCTCTCCCTTGAAAACATGAAAAATGATAAAATATAGCATTAATATAGGTGCATATTGGTTTTGGTGTGCATCCATTCAAAGGAAAATTTGAGTCGGTGTACATTGTTTAGTGAACTAATTCGACCAAAATGGACAATATCGTTTGTTCAAACTAATCTCCAAACTTTCCTGATATCTTCAAGAACAATTTGATATTTTTACAAAATCGGTTAAGTAGTAATTTTTTATAGGTACTCATAAACCATCAAACAAACATTTGAGCTTGTAAGTTACCAACATACATTGAACTTTCATATTTATTTTAAGATATTATTCCAATAAATGCTATTCTAACAAATTTTCATTTTTTTTCTTGGATATATGAATAAATATTGAGAATTTTCAATTTTTACCTTCTAAAAGTACCAACTAGATCTAATTTTCTATAAAAACCTCTATCAAAGTTGATGATCAGAATATATTTTCTACTAAAAAGTTGATAAGTGAAGTTGTACAAGCTTTTTCAAATAAATACCTCACGACTTCATCCAAGTGTCTAAAATTATTAGACTGGACGAAATAAAATTTGAATATTAATTAATATTATATAATGTGAAAAATTAAACATTACTTAAATTGTATTGACTTGAATATGCACTCTGCATGAAGTCCAAATTAAAATTAAGACTTGTTATGTAGTTACTGTACAAAAGCTACCCACACATAACATTTAAATCTGCCATGTTATTTTTTTTTAATATAAAATACAGATATTATTCTACAATACAAATTAGCAAATAGGGTCCTACACTCCTACATATACAGTAAAATTATTGTATTGCTTCATTTAATTATGCCTAGTATATGCCTATTGTATTGTTAGAATCCTTTTAACAAATAAGTCTTAATGTATATAGGACTAAATAGAGTCGACAAACGGCATAATATATGAGAATGACTTTATTGGCACAAAACAACTTAAATAATATGCGTTCCTAGTCGAATAATTATATAAAAAAAACTAATAGGTGCCGTTGATCTCGTCGATTGACAAACAAAACTGCAGCTTACTAAAATCGACGGATCCGTAGATCAATTAAATGTCGATCGACAGATTACATCCGTAATTATTATTTGTTTCTATTGATTGAACAACCTACGGCGTCATCACACCGCCGTAATCGTGTGCGCCTACGACCACTCCTTCCTCATGGATTTTGGCACGACCAATAACGCTCTTCCTTCGTAGAACCGAATTTTTTTGAAATAATATTGAATAGTTTGAATAGTTTTAAATGCCTATTATATTTGATACGTGTCACTGTGATTACAACACATAAAAAAATAAAACGGTCAACATCGACACCTGAAAGGACGTTTTCAACTTTAAAACGCCTAAAAACGTTTTTAAGAAACAGAACCGGACAACGGACAAGAAAGGTTAGTAGGACTAGCCCTCATGAGTATACATAGAGATGTTGAAATTGACACTGAAGAAGTTATCAAAAGATTTTCTAATACTTCGAGGAAAATTAAATTAATATATTTGTATTGTAGTACGTTTTACACATTTTTTTATTTTTTTGATATAAGTATTGTATTTGTATATAGTTAACTTGTTTACTAAAGTGTAATGAATTATAATTATTAATGTAGAAATATAAGATAATGTACATAGTTACCTACCGAAATTTTAAAAAAAATGTCATGTTCTTAATTTTAATAATATTGGTATAGTTTCATATTTTATTACACAATATAACATATTTATACTCTAACCCCCTCCCCCCAAAAATATTTTTCTGGCTACAGCCTTGACTGTAGTATTAAATTTCTGGAGGCATTCAATGTTGTTGTTATTATTATTCACAAAAATAAAATAATAAAACAAAATAGATGTACGAGTTCAACATCACGAAAAGTTCAAAAATATACTTAACCTGGTGAAAACCACAGATATGTAAGTATGAATAATCTCCCTAAAAAAAAATTAATTAATATATACCAACATTCCGAGCACCCATTTATCGTTTTGTAAATTAACCGGAGATGGCTATGATCGTGGATAATTATATTTTGTACTACCACTTTAGTCGAATATGTAGTAAAATATTAAATATGATTATCATTATTACCTACCACTAACTATGAAGGAAATGATTCTTGAGTTTTATTAAACTTTCGAGTTCCAACAAAAATAATATCATAACATTGAAACTAGGTAATCTTAATATAGGGTACACAAATTGTGGTTATGTTACTATGTCAACATATAAATTGTCAGTTGTACATTCATAATATCATTATAAGTTGCAACTGGCGAGCACAAGTTTGGAAAGTTTTGTTTTCATTCCGTTGGGGTTTTCTTATGGAAATAATTATTGTTCTAAATTTGTGCAGGGTCAGTATGAAAAAAAAATCAACAGCGTAAAAATTGTTTTATTTATTTGGATATACTTCACATTTATAATAATAATATTGCACAAGTTGATTCTTTTAATGCGGTGAACACTATTTTTTCCAAAAAAACCATTTAAGTTACAGGAAATATTTTTTTCTCCATAATTTGAGGTCATCTTTGCGAAAAATAAAATGTACCAACTGTTAAGGCACTAAGTAAATTCATCAAGTTTCTTATTTTGTAAATTATTGTATGCATTTCTATTTCTTTTTTAATTGAAGCAGAATATTTTTTCTGAGAATATTCCTATAGGTACCTGAATATACTTCAAGGACTGAATTTCAATATTTAGTTAGTTATATAGTTCTGACTTATTTATTAGGTAATGAATAGGTTCATAACTTTCTAAACTTTTAAAGATGAGTGGATTAACATTTTGTAAGTTACCCATGTGGATAATAAGGTACTATATACGCAATGTAATTTCTAAAATATTTGGAATCATTTCAAGCTACAAACCTATTAACAACACTCTAAAAAATCTAATTTAATACATAAAATAGGCTGACGGACCATCTCAATTCAGTATCACTTTTCATCATACTAAATGTAAAATATCCATTACAGCAACCAACTAAATAAAGTTATTACATACAACAGAGCAACTCCTCAGTTATATAATATTTGGGTAGGTATTTATTAAATGGACAATGAAATAATTGCCTACACGCTCTCCAAATTCAATTATAAATATACAACACAACATTGTAATTGAAAGATTTATATAACTCAGAAATTAATTTTATGAACAATTTACTGAGTATTCTTGATAATTATGTTACAATTATCTTGTTTTAGGAGAAGATATTATTATAATTAAAAATACACTGTCAAAAAAAACTACGGATAAAAAAGTTTATTTGTTCACAGTGGTCATAGTTTGATGTAACTTCTGTTATTTGTTATTAGAGTATTAATTGATATTAACAATAAATATAAAAATAAATTAACATTTTTTAGCTACTTTGTATTTTTAATATATTCATAGAAAATTATGAAAAACTTAACTATTGATAAATTCAATAAATTATAAAAAATAAATAAATAGCATCTAATCTTTAATAAGCATAACAAAAAACAAAAAATATTCAGTCAATATTCTTTATTAATGTAATTCAAAAAGAGCTCCTAAAAATATTTTCTGATGAAAACGCCAGATAACAATAATTCAACATTATAAGGTCAAACATTTAAAGAGTTAAACAAATAAAAACAATTTTTATTTTAAAATTACAACTATTTATATAAAAAAAAAAATAAAAAACACTTATAGTGCTTACAACAATATTTTTAATAAACATACATTCTTAATATACGTACATGCTAAATTCATGTATAGATCACAACTTATTCCACATATTTTTCAAGATTAAATTAATTTCTATTGGCTAACATTTTGAATCAAACAAATCACTATGAATTTTTAAATCCTATTTGTATTGCAACTTTAATATAGTTTTCAGTAAAAGCCAATTATTCAATTCAGGAGGATATATTTTATCCTAGTACTACAGGTGGGACATCCCTGATTACTTGATATATAATTACAGAAAAATAATCAATGAATGTTGCACCACTAGTACTAAAATAACCAAGCCATGAAACTTGAATGGAGCAATTTTTTTCGGTTTGTTACACTTTGTACAACCAATACATAGATTCCAACATTATTTATAATTTTAACAGCATTGATAACTTGTTGTGACAAATATCTAGTACCTACCTAAAGTGACTCAACCTGAAATTTAAAAAAAATAATTATTATAAATATAATAAATAAATAGTATTTTTAATAATTGGGAAAAACAAAAATAAATCAATGAACATATTTTGTTAAAATTGTAATATTATTATTAATAATAGCACCAGGTATCTTATACAAGTAGTTCATACTTAATCAAAAAATTACAGATTATTTTAGGAAAATTGGTATGATACACTTGAAAACCCTAACCTTTCGCTTAGTATTGGTATTCCAAACTGTGTACCATTTAATAATGCATTTTCAATAACTAATTAATATTTTATTTTGAACATATAAATTGAAATAAAATTTACTTTATTTCTTACTTATTGTTTCTTTTTAAATTATAAGTAGATTCAAACAATACAATAAACACATACCTAATATTTCAAAATCTATGGTGAAAAATCATTTATATTAAATCAAGTATATTATCACAATAAATTAAATAGTAAATATAAACAGATATTGTAACTTTACCAAGAAATCAAAACATGCTTAATTAAATACTAATATTAATTACAAATTCTTCAATGTTACATATCTTATGAATCGGGAACATAAAAAATAAATATAAATTCTACATTTCTCTAGCATTGGATTTAATTTAAATATTGAAAAATTAAAGTGAATATGATCAACTGACGTAAGAGTTGTGTAAAAATGTGTTTTTAGTACACAATTTCAGGTAAGAGTATTTTTATTTTTGAAATTCATAATTCTCCTCAAAAAAATGAATTCTGATTACGCCACTGCAGATTATAGTAATTTTTTTGCACATACTATTATAACCATGACTCCTAAATTTGAGATTAAATTACAGACAATAAATATCTAAGGAATTAAACACAAAATATAAAAACTGAAACACTAATTTATGCAAATTAAAAGAAAAATTATGAAGGTACTCATTAATAATTAATTGTATTTTAGTAGTATAGTAAGTTTTCTTTCTGGATTCAACTGTATACATTTTTAAAAATATATTACAGCTGCTTGACCATTTTCAAAATTGTGAAAATCAAACATGTTTTCTTGATCTAATCCTATTGCTTTTAAAATGGATTCACTGAAACTCTGAAATGATAAAAAGTGCAAAAGATATTTTTGGATATATTTTTTTGGTGAACATGGTTATTATCTAACTTGTTACCTACCACAATGAAGTACTTGAAGTAGTTCAAAATACTCAACAATTCTGCAATGGGTTGGATCAAGGGAAAACAGAATCCCTGTACAAATGGGGTATTTAAATTTTAAAATAAAAACATATAGAAAATATATAATACATAATATAAAATGTATTATATTTTTTTGTGAACAGGAGCGGCACTTGCCATCAATGCCTTCCCTGGGTCCGCCCTTGGATTAGATGGTTATTAAAATGTGATTGATGAAGACTAGTTAAATTGTCTGTAAATAGCTTAATAAGGCAGTTCATAAAAGATAAGATAAACATTTGATGAGTACCAAAAATGCAAAAATTTGACTTAAATCAAGAATAAAAAATGAATTACACTTGCTTCTATTAATTACACATACCGTTTATAATACTTTTAATAATAACATTAATGAGAAAATTTATTGTAAACTTTATATTTTTTTTCCTAGCAAAAAATGATTTATTGACTAAAAAAACATTTTAAAAAAATCAAAAACTATACAAGCTTAAAAAAATTCAAAATATTTTAATATAAGAGCAATGATTTTTTAAGTTGTTGTTAAATATATTATAATTTTTAATATCCAATTCTCTCAAAACCAAAAGGCATTAAGCAGTTAAAATTTAGTAGCTTTAATAGCTTTGATGTGCAGATAAACATCAAATAAATGTAAATTAAGAATATATATTTCACACACAACTTAAATAAATAATACCTTATACCTAATATAAAATATATTCAATGCTCATGCATTATACTTCTCAATTATTTTTTTTAAATAACTTAAATCCTTATACACAATAATATTTATAATTGTAAATTATTTACTTTATAGGGTCATCTTCTGATGAGTTTTTAGTAATAGCAGATCATTTCAGTGCTTCACAGTGTGAATGTTTTCCACAAAATAAATCCTGTAAGTATTAAAATTATTAATTGTATACAATATTTATAATTAATAAAATGAGTGTTACTGGTTTATTAAAAATCTGACTCATGAAATAAACTTTATTTTAATAAAGATTTTACGATAATGGTTGGCATTTTTAGACAACTATCTCATTTAATAGGACCTCAAACACCAGACATCACACTTGTTGTCTTAAAAGACAACAAATGCCAATTTATTTATTGGTCACATGGCCAATTAATGTAGAGCATCACACATTTATCTTTATTAATTTGCTGTTACCTGCTTCAGTACTTGTAATACTATACAATAAATGAAGGTTTGGTATCTCCTCAATTTTGAACATATTGTAACAACAAATATACTATGAGAATTGTAGTTTCCTATTCACCCATTTTGATACACAATTTATGAGATAGGGATTTTGAAGGACAAGAAATATATAAAAAGAATGTATTAGTCATTAAAATGCAAAATAAGGACTTTTCAATTCAGTTAATAGAACCTTTTTAATATAATATCAGATTGCAAAATAGCATTTTACTCATTAGCATGATATCATCCTCATAATATCAGTAAGAATTTAGTAAGAATATACCACAAGTGCCACAACACATATACATTGCAGATAACATATAGTTTAATTATTAATATATTACTTACAGATGGTAGGTAACGAATTTGTAGTTTAAAATATTATACAAGAATAGTTTTTCAAATAAAGACAACTTATGATCCACATAAACTTATCGCCAGACAGTTGACAATGACCTGCAAAAAATGCATAACCTAACCTAACCCCCCCCCCTCACCATTGATATTTATTCCCCTAATAAAATGTATGATATACATTATTTATGTACAAACTGTAAAAATTCAGTTTCATTTGTGCTTAACCCCCCTCCTCCTCATAATTCATTTCATAATACTGACTCCGCCACTGTACGTCCCGCACAGTGCACATACTATATACTTACACTCATTACAACAACGACGGAGTGATCGACGCAGAGCCGTAGGTGGTGTTACAACTCAAGCACACCGCAACAGAATTTTAGTTTTCCAATTCCAGACATACAACACGGAATATGGTTCCAGACTCCAGTACTCGGGTTCACTAGAAATGTCCAGCGAATTGAACTAGCAAGGATAAAGATAAACAAAACAATGAATTAATTACACATTGGTATAGATATAGATTAAAGCGGTTATAAATGGTGTAAACACAATACATTTTCAACAATTTGAATACCGTCTATTAAATATTTTGACCTCTGGCGAACTGTTGGGCGTTTTGCGCGTCCGAGCAGCTACAAACAGCCTTTTACCTATATAGCTACAAACAACGCCATTGCTCCGCGACCCTTGTGACATAGTTAAGCCCGAGCCCGACCGACTGCTGAGCTGCAGAGTGCAGAGGGTGCAACCCACGCCACGCCGCCACCCCGGGTCCAAACTACCAGACTGGCGTGGACCTCAAACAATGGTTTTTTTCCTCCATGAAATTTCGGGTCATGTGCCGGTGCCTGGTCAATTGGCGGGCTGGCGGTCTTCATAGACCAGCTACGAGACCTGATATTCTCAAAGGTGGGTAAGTCCATGATATAATAAACTCACTACTCAGGTTAAGTGAAGTTCAGAGAACACTAATCGATAAGTTAAATTTTAACAGTTAACAAATCATTAGTTTAATTCGATAAGTTAAAAGATAATTTGAAAAAAAATATTAACTCAGCTCAGTTTGAAAATGTTTATCTACATTTTTAAATTAGTATGTAGACTGCAGAGTGACTGCGTTCTTGATATAAAGCCATAAAGGTCTAATTTTCTAAATTATAATAATCAATTAGTATATTTATTTATCTTTACAGTTAACATTCATTATGCGGAACATTCTGTATGATTTATAGTTTTATAAAAAAAATGTCCTCGACCTAACCTATCGTCTAAAAGTATAAACATCATGTCATAGGTCATACGGAACTATATTTCTACGATAATTTAATTTTCAAGTTATTCTTAGCATTATTTTTTCCAATTTCCAGAATCTGGTTTCCGGGCAGTATTTTTCTTATCGATAATTGTTGATTGTACTAGAAAGATATTTATAAAATATTGTGTATGTGTTTACACCTATGTAATCTATTAAAATATATTTTTATAAAGAAAAACAACAAAAATGTTTGTGTTATTATAGTATGGGAAGTTTTTAGATTCCGAGCGGAGCGATGAATGTATTGATTTTACAATGATATGTGTTTTTTATTTATTTATTTATTTATTTATGTCTGTCATCACGGTTTCTTGCAGTAAAAGTGCTTCGATTTTTTTAAATGGCAGCTTTTCTGATAGGAAAGTGAATCTAGTCAGTGCATTCTTTTTTATATTAGATCCAACAATTAGAAATCGCCATATCGAATGTATGCATAATCATTCTCAGAGTCCATTTGCTAGATCGTATAAATATACGATAATAACTTATAAGTTGATCTAATTTATCAACACCATTTATTTTAATATAACCTCACTATTTCGGGCCTTTCAATATCAAAAAGTTTTTATTTTTTCTCCCAATGAGTTACACGACCTACTCACCTACTTCTCCAGATGCTATGAAATTTGATCCTAAATTGACTGCTTTGTTGTTGCACCATTTTACAATGCCAATATTACAACCAGCAGTGGCGTAATTTGGTCACGTTTGTGGGGGGGGGGATGAAATGTTTTAACATTTTACCCCCCCCCCTAAAAAATAAAATAAAAAGTATTTATTATAAGCACCTTTCAGTGCAATATATTATTAGATAAAGAGTAAGTTATGATGATTTCAAAAAAAAAAAAAGAAGTACATAGGAAAATGTAATAACTAACCAGTCTTAAAAAAAAGGTCGTCATGGGGGGGATATGACACCCAAATCCCCCCTGTAATTACGCCACTGACAACCAGGTACATCTGTTGTTACCTCGAATGTGGTTCCTCTGCCAAGTTTATGCATTTCTTTGTTACTCAACGATGGTGGGTTATCAAACCAATTTGTTCGAATTGTTCCAGCAGCATAAATTTGAAGTTGTTGTAATCTTTCAAATAAGCCAAATGAAGAAAAAAAATTATCAAAAAATAAAAAATGTCGATTTTGCTTCACGTTTTGCGTAAGATACAACACAACACTAGCTCCAGAAGTCAGAACCAACAGTTTTTATTAAGTTTTGGTTCAATTCATAATACCCATGACACTTTCGCCAGATAATAGAAAAACTTTTACACCCCATTTAATAGGTTCCCTTCATATATTGATTAATAGATAGTTGCCATTTGAAGGGAACCATATGCAACTCACAAGTTTCTTTCCATTGGTAGACCATTACATTATTTTTGAACAGCAATGTACAACGGCCTGACTTTTATAAATTTTTCTTTTGTTTCCATTAGGAATTTCATTGTTGCCGACGATATGTAAATTATTACACAAATAAAAAAACCTGTCTCGGGTCATATTTTGAGCAACTAAATTTACTTCAGAATGTTTTAGCCAATACAAATGCACACGTGGATATTTTAAATTACCCATTATGATATGAATACCGTCATACCGATTAAGTGTTTCATTTCGTATATATCAGTAGGTTTAAATCTAGTAACACCTTTTTGATTCGCATAAAGATTAGTATGATATGCCATTTTTTCGAAAACATCATCACCAAAATACTCGGAAAAATATTTTAAAGGTGATTTTAATTCTAATATAATATTATTTTGTTCTACGTCATCAAATTTGAGAGTTGGCTGATTGAATGGTTTTTGAGCCCACCTAATGTTACGTTTACTTGATATAGTTAATGGTGGTGGTACCCATTCCTCGTCTTACACAGTTAATTAATTTTCATTTTCATTATCAAAATTATCTAACAAATGTTCAAATTCTGCAAATGGAAAATCAATGTTTTCGGTTTCACTTCTCTGACTTCCGATTTCCGATGTTTCCATAGCCTAATAATTCTAAAATCTCTTCGTCACGAATCATATTATTTTTATAATAATATCAGTAATATTATTGGAACTAATAAAATATAAAATAGTAAAATACAGTTCACGACATAATAATAAAGTAAAAATGTGGTGATTATCACAGCCGGCTGTTATCAAAAAATACGTGCGTCCAATAATGAACCAGTATTATACCATGAGACACGAAGTGACCCGAGGTACTACCACAGATTATAATTTATATTAAAATATAATATTAATATTAAATTTAAAATTTATATTTAATATAATCTGTGGTACTACCTTGTCTACCTATGCTGCCAAAGAGTAAATATTAAATCAAGGTGGATTGATCCACCTTGTATTAAATGCTTGTAAACAGTTTGATTACAGTGTTACCAACATTTCTAACCGGAAAAAAGTTAATTTATTTCTATTATTATTTCTTGGAAAAAATATGATATAAAAACCACAGATATATAAAAATGTATTTTTATATATCTGTGATAAAAACTCAAAATTTCGTTATCAGATTATCTAAATTTTCTTGGGAAAAATTATCAAAATTAATACAATAACCACGATTAAAGATAAAAACTAATCGTACCACAAATCATAGTAATCATACCATGTTCATATTTTATTACATATTTACATGTAGAATTTAGATAGGTACATAGGTAATATTATAAATAAAAGTAATTTGCTGTAGTTCACTAAAAGCACACTATTACATTGATGAAGTAAAACATTACATGAATGTATTGATATACCAACTAAATCTTTTATAATCATAAGATAACTTAATAATAACAAAACAAGCAAAAATAAGAACTATGGAATTTAAAAAAAATTATAACTAACATTTTTGATGATAATTTAAATAAAAAAATTGATAGATTCAATTACATAAAACAGTCGTCAAACCACAAATTAAAAATATTTTGTAAAATAACCAATCACTATAGATATTTGAATTATATTATTTTATTATTTTAACAAATTTTACACTATATTTAATTGCATTCTTTGCCATAGTAATAAATTATTATTACTAATAATATATGTATAATTATATTATATTTTCAGTTGCCGATCAACAATGTTGTAATTGTTTTTTAAAATGTCAAAAAAAGTATGATAAATTGGGTGTACTTATATTGGCTATATTAATTTTAAAAAAAAAATAGTATAATATGATACATCGGTTATTGTTTAATAAACAGTCGGTGGTATCGATAGCCGCGGAATTTATATTAAAACGGCCGGAATCGAGCCTACCTGCTTTGGTCCACGAACGTCAAAGACTTCGACCGTTGCTCTCTTTTTTTGAAGTTTTTTATTATCATGATTGGTGGCCGTCGATACATCATATTATATTATACTGGTTTTCGAATCAGTGGCGTAATTCCTTGGGTAAACGAGGGACACTATCCCCCCCCACCCCTCAAAAAAAAAAAAAATGTTTTGATGAGTTTGTGTGCACCTTTTTAATATTATGATGGTCCTATAGTAGCTGGTAAATGTTGGGTGACCGTATAATTATATAAATGTATGTAATGTTGTATGATTCGCTTTTGTTTTGAATTGTGGTTGTAAAAATTCAGTTTTTTAGTGAGTTATAAGCATTTTTAATTTACATTTATTATACAAGCATACCTCACTTAAAAACTAAATTATCGTAAAAAACTTCCAACAAACACAGATAAAGTTCTTACCATTAAGTTTCATAATAGGTCGATTCACCCTAATTTTTAAGCTAACGGCATAAAACGTGAACGGCTGAGAGTAAATTTGGTAAGTTACGCACTTGTAAGGCCCAGACAACACATGAGAGTGTGGCATCCTCTTAAAATCTATTCATGGCATCATGGGATTTAACTGTAAAAATTACTTACTATAACCCCAGATGATATAGGTATATTTTATTAGATAGGAAAAATGCCAAAGAAGAAATCATCGTCACATTTTTGAAAATTTAAATAATGTAAAAATTATTTTGTTTTTGAGATGTTATTTTATTGTTTAATAACTAATATGCGCGTATTTAGATCTTTTAAAGTGTATATTTTGTTAAATTTGTATTTTAAGTGTATTTGT